CTCCAATAAACTGAAAGTGGTGCTGTGGCTCAAGTGGTAGAGCTAGCTTTGAGCTGAAGAGCTAAGGGATAGCACTCAGGCCCAGAGTTTAAGCCCCATGACCGACAAAAAAAAAAAGAAAAGAATACAAAGGCCTGGGGTTGGAGCTGTGGCCCAGTTGGTAGAACACTAGCCAGTGAATGAAAGAAAGCATCAGATACCTAGTTCAAGTTCAAGTCTTGAACGAAAAGAAAAAAGAATACAAAGGCTTGACACCAGGGTCTAAATCTGGAATTAATCCAGCAGGAATGTGGGTTTTTTTTCAGGGATGGGGAGTTTTTGTTTTTAGTTTGTATTAGTTCAAGCAGAGCTTGAACTTAGGGCCTTTCTGATCCTGCTCTCTTGCCCCTCCTCCAGTCCAACATTTTACTGATTAATTAGAAATGGAATTTCAAGACTTTTCTGCCCAAACTGGCTTCTAACCTTGATCCTCTAGCTCTCAGCCTCCTAAATAGGTACGGATTGATTCCAGGTTTGAGCCAGCAGTGCCTGGCTGCCATTTTCGAGCAGAGGACAACAATCACATTCGCCATTGGTTTTGATTTCTTGTCCCTGAGCCTCTTAGAAGAGCTTTTGATGACTGGTGAAGAGCAGAGTCTGAGGCAGACAGGGTAGAATGGTGGCAGACATATGCTCCGGGGACAGGAGCCTGAGCACAGTTGAGATGCTTGCCTGGAACCCTGATTCGGCATTTCGTAAGAGTCGTCAATTTCAATGCAAACCACCCAGCATGGCCAACTGGGCATCCCTTCCTTCATCTGCCCGGCCAAGAGACTCCAGGAGCCCCTGAAGGGACCGGGAGCTCATTACCCATGCATGGTTGGTGGCATGAAGAAGGTATTTGTTCTGTAGTCACAAGCCCTTGACAACTCATGTTTACCTATCTTGTGTGGGCCTCTATCACTCAGTGTGGCTGTGGGGCTTTTGAGTGGCTGCTGTGAGCAAGTTTGGGGGAAAAATGTTTGCAAGTTGTCATAATAAGCAGGGAGTCTGGGCACTGCTGCCAGGATGGGCAGGGTGGTGGGTGGGCAGTGGAGTGGCCAGGTGGACCATACGTGCGGTATTTGCTCTGAGTACTTATCTGCCATGCAGATGTGGGTGCAAATGCAGATGTGGAGGGTGTATTTAGTGCCTAGCCACTCCCTTTACTAGCTTTGAGTTCTCAACCTAGCCTCAGGGACTCCCAGAGGAGCTAAGGGAATATTGAACGTGTACAGGGTAGACTCTAGTCCCAGCTTGAGTGGGGGAGGGGGCTAAGGAAGGGGGTGAGCCAGGCAAGAGAGGGGACCAGGATCCACAGAAGTGAGCAGTATGGTCAGAGTTGTCCTGGGCATAGAAGTGTATGATCCAAGTCTGGGCCCAGGGTGAGCCTGGAGATAACCACAGAGTTTGAGAAGGCATGAACAGGGGGAGGAACTGTCTTTGAGGGCAGATTTGGTGCCTCATCTTCTGCTCAGCCTGCCCAGCTCAGCCCTGGCTGTCAGCACCTGCTGCCCACCCCCATGCAGAGCACGAAGGCAGCTTAACTGGCCCTCCTCTGCTTCGTGCACTTGAGAAATGAAAGCTCCCCGGCTCCTTGTTACCAGGTATACATATTTCATGTGGTCATTAGCTGGTGGCACTTAAGGACTCACAAATCTTCCCTGAGTGGGCAGTGAGAAGCCCCCAGGGACAGGGCTTGCTGTGGGGCCTTCCCTGTGCTCGGCCAACCTGGAGAAGGGAGGGCAGGCATGGGGGGGGGGGGGGCTGGCAGGAGGAGGGGGGAAGGGGAAAAGCCAGCATCTGCTCTAAAACAGTCTCCCAAGGCTTGACACCCGGATCATGGGGGCCTGGGTCTCAGCTCCCTTGAGCCCCAGAATAAGGGGACTGCTGGGCACCCTCAGGAGTCCTTCCTGCCCTGACAGTCTGAGCACAGTTCTGTGGGAGGCCAACTATGAAGGGCAGGAACCCTTGTGTTTGGCTAGCTCTCCACCTTTGGCTTGTCCCCTCCTTCAGAATCTGCTCTTCCTTACTTTTTATCACTTCATTTTCCCTTTCCACAAACCCTTCTTTCTAGATTTTGCTCATTCCTTTCTTTTTCAGGGATTGAGGGAGCGCATACTATGTGCCAGGCATTGTCTCTGCCCAGCAGCATCCCAACAGGTGGCCACTCAGCCCTTGAGCTTCCCCAGCCCTTCCTTTTGACAGAGAAGGGCACAGAGGCCTGAGGACCTGCTTTTGCTCACACAATGGCCTGGCTGGTGACAATGGCCTGGAACTGGGATCTGTACCTAAAACTGGCTCTGCACCATGGAAGCACAATATGGTAGCTATGAGCTCTTCCTCATGGTTATCATGAGTCATGGTTATTATGTCCTAATGCTATGTGTGCTCTGTCTGTAGAACCCACACCCGGTGTTCTTTCCCCCTTCCTGTATGACCCTGGATGGGAAGAAGGAAAGGTCATGGGCAGGACCTTTGGTCTCCCCTCCTCTGGAATACCCAGGCTCCTCACCATGGTTTTGAGGCCAAGCACCATGATAGGCAGCCAAGGATCAAATCAGCTCTGATCCCTTTCTAGTTGTGGTCCCTCACTAATTCAGTTTCCCTGTCTGTAAGTGGGAGGTGGTCAACATAACTGATCCTCCTTCCTCCATCCTTCCTTCAGTTTCCCTGTCTGTAAGTGGGAGGTGGTCAACATAACTGATCCTCCTTCCTGGGGTTGGGGTAAGGATGGAGAGATAATATGTGCACAGTGCTCAAATGACAAAGTGTAGTTGTAAGGAGGGTATCTGAGTCAGGGGAGGCCCGCCAGGGGGCTAGCAGTGGGCTGCATCAATCCCACTTATCCAACCTGCCCCCAGTAAGCCAGGATAACTGAGCCTGGCCAGGCTGGGGTGAGGATGGAAGAGGCATTTACAGGAGGCAGAGCTCCTGGAAATGGCACCTTTATGAATAGCCACATTTTCTGGTTAACTAAGGTCTTAATTCTTTGAGTATAAACATATTTTTCATTTCATTCATTTGGGATAGAGAGATATTATTCACAGGTCTGCCTTCCAGAACTGAATATACTGAACACGAATTAACTTTCTCATGAAAATTCAGGTTTATTATAAAGAACATAGAATTTAATAGATTTCATAGGATCTAGGAGCTTGCTTTGAAGGGGACCTCAGAAAATACCAAGTAGAAGAAAGGTATTAAAATATATTTTTAGCCATGGAGCCTTTGTTACCATCTTTCAGAGAAGACTTGAGTGTAAAGTGGACAGAAGTGACCCCAAGGGCAGTACGGGGCCTCTCTCGCAGCTCCAGGACAGGGGCCTAGGTCTGGAACACATGTCTACCTAGAGCAGTGCCAGGGGTGAAGTATGTGTGTAATGTGCATAATGTGACAAGACAGAAGTGGGGAGGGAGGAAAAAAGAAAGGAATAGAGGAAGGGAGAGAAAAAGAAGGAGGGAAGAAGGGAAACGGGAGGGAGGGAGGGAGCAAGAGAAGGAAAGAAGGAAGTGTCCTTTAGACTACAGTGTGGACTATAGCCATGTTAAGGATGAAAAAGAAGCCGGAAGTCCCAGCCACAAAAGCCAACCCTCCAGAGCCATCACCATCACCTAGGGGAAAGGGGAAATAGGGAGGGTCTTAAAGGCATAATATCAGATAGGGATGGGGGAGTCCCCCCCCCAATTCACCACCCAGAGCGGCAGCAGGATCCTGAGGCTTCATGGGTCCCAGGTCTACTTTGTGATGTACAGGAAGTTGGCGGTGTCTTGTATTCCTGGTCACATGGGTGCTGGTGGGGCTGAGACTAGAAAGCTCCCAGCACACTGACAGGGTAAAAGGCATGATGGCAGTGCCCACTGCCCAGGTCTCCACCCTGCTGTGTCACCTGCAGAAGTGGCTTCTCTTCCCAAGCCACAAAGCCACTCAGCTTTGGTCTAGCCTGGGCAGACTCCCAAACCAGTCTGCAGGTGGGAAGGGACATTAGACTCAGGACCCTAAGCCATCAGGGTTCAGCTCTATTCCTTCCCAGCTCCTCTGGGTGCAGCTCTGTCCTTCCCAAACCCCTAGCAATTTCTAGTCACCTCACCCCAGCTCCACTCACTAGAAGAAAGTTCTATCCCCAGCAACAGTAAGGACAGACAATCCCAGGGAGGGCTATGCTGATCCAGTAGTGGTCTCTCCTGGGCCAGGCCCTGGGCTGGGAGCAGAGTTAGGCAGTTGGAACTTACCCTGCCTGGGCCAGTGAGAAGAGGCCCTGGAGAAGATGTATGGAGACAAGCCTGGAAGTTTGGCAGTTGCCAGGCAGGTAAAGGGCTCTGTCATGCAGTAGATTATTCCTGGGGTCAAAGGCAGAACCAGAAATCTGCCTCCACACCTTTGTTGTATGTGAGATTATTCCTGGGGTCAAAGGCAGAACCAGAAATCTGCCTCCACATCTTTGTTGTATGTGACACTGCACATATATAGGCCACAACACAGACACAGGTTCAGAGTTCTGCCCCAGGCCTCCTGAGAATCTGCAGAGAATGAAGGCACCAAGCCTAGCCTGAGGCAGAAGGGCAGAGCCACACAGGTGGGGGGGTCCTTGAAGACACAGCCTCTAGAAGCGTGCTCACCAGTATAACATAAGCACCAGATTGTGCATCTTGGCTCTAGAAAATCCATCTGGGCCACAGAGAAAATTAGGTTGCTTGGAGCCCCTTTCTCAATAAGATAGGAGCCTTGGCTGGTCCAGCAGCAACCACTTATGTTTTATGTTTATGTTGCATGTGTGTGATCCCATCCTGGGGCTTGAACTCAGAACCTGGGTACTATCCCTGAACTTTTGTGCTCTATCCCTGAGCTTTTACACTTGACCACCTGAGCCACAGCTCCACTTCTGCCTGGAGATAAGAATCTCACAGACTGTCTTTGAACCGTGACCCTCAGATCTCAGCTTCTTGAGTAACCAGGAACAACTTCTTCTTCTCACCCCACAGGCAACAGACAATGACGTGGGCATCTTTGGGGAAGTCAACTATTTCTTCAGTGATGACCCTGACAGGTAAGCTGCTACCCTGGCCCCTCTGATTGGTCAAGCCCCTAAGCCCTCTAGGATGTGGTTTCTGTGACCCTCAAAGGTCAGCCTGTAGCTTTGGGACTGAAGAAGATTGTGGTCTGTGACTATGTGTCTGTGGTTGTACACAACACAACCCCTGCCACTACCAGCAGCTGCAGCTGACGTGTTACAGGCATCGTCCTTACAACTGAAGGCTAGAAGAACTCAATTACCATTTTCACTCTACTGCAGGTCAGAGAGGCTAATGCATGTGCCCAAATTCACACAGCTGGTAGATGCCAGGGCTGGGCCTCTGTGCATGGTCTTTACCCTAGGCCACAGCTTCCAGCAGACAGAAAGGAGCTTGCCTGCCTGCCTGCCTGCCTGCCTTCCTTTCTTCCTTCCTTCCTGTCCCTCTGCTAGTACTGGGGATTGAACTCAGGGTTTCACAATGTTGCTTTTTCACTCAAGTCTGGTGTTCTACAACTTGAGCCACATCTCCACTTCTGGCTTTTTACCGGTTGATTAGAAATACAAGTCTCACAGATTTGTTTGTCTGGGCTGGCTTCAAACCGTGATTCTCAGATCTCAGCCTCCTTAATAGCTAGGATGACAGGTATGAGCCACTAGCACCTAAGAGGGGAGCCTTTATAAGCAACAGTCAATAAGTGAGATACTTCCCTCACCACCTGACCTGTGCCACCTTGCCAATCGACATGGTCCTGGAATAGCTCTGGGCCATCTTTTATCCTTGTCTAAAGATAATTGGAGCCAAGGGGACACCATCTTGTTTTAACATGATCAAAGCCTTGAATTGAGAGGGCAGATCTGTTGCTAAAGACAAAGAGTTTGATGAATTTGGAAGCCCAACAGAAAGAGAACATTAGTGGCTGTCAGCTCCAATTGCTGGCTCTGACTATCTGTGTGAATGATCAAGAAGAGCCTGAGACATCTAGCTGTGTCACCGGCATCTCTAGCTACTCTGAGGCAGAGGCCTCTGCAGATGAGAAATAAAAAACAAAACGTATGCATGGGCTGAGTGCATGGAGCAGCCGGGTCCTGGCAACCTATATTCATGGAGCCTGGGCCTGACTTCAGGATTTCTCAACATTTCTCCTGGAACTTGCACTGTACTTAAGCTGGGACCTTCCAGGCTTGGTTGGCTGGTAGCTGTCACACGGGCAGAGCACATGCATGCCCACTGATGGCCTCTGGAGGGGACATCAGAGGAAGCCACTGCTGCCCCCACAGGACACGAGCCAGTCTCTTTGCTGAGAGGACCTTCCCCTTATGGGACATTCTGCTGCCTTTTTAGACCATTTTGATGCAGCAGAACTCTCGAAGGTGGCAGAAATTGTGCCCTGTGGCTCTCCAACATCTACACATTCTCCAGTTCTTGAAAGGTCCTGCTCTCAGCAGCAAGGTCCTTCCACCCCAGGTTCCTCCCTGAAGTGTTTACAGTGTTCATCCCCTAACCCACTTGAACGGGGTATCTTTTCTCTCCCTCCTTCCTACCTGATGCAGGTTCTCCCTGGACAAGGACACGGGGCTGATCATGCTGATTGCTCGGCTGGACTATGAACTCATCCAGCGCTTCACCTTGACCGTCATTGCTCGGGATGGGGGTGGTGAGGAGACAACGGGCAGGGTCAGGATCAACGTGCTAGATGTCAATGACAATGTGCCCACCTTCCAGAAGGATGCCTACGTGGGTGCCCTGAGGGAGAATGAGCCCTCTGTCACGCAGCTGGTGCGGCTCCGGGTAAGGTCCCGGGGGCGGGGGGGCGGGGGGGGAGGCTTGTAACCATTCCATTTATCCTCACTCCACTCATTCTGCCTGACTACCTTAGGAAGGGAGAAAGGTATTCACCTCCCATCCACAAGGGCGGGGTGGGGGGTGGGGTGGGGGGAGAAGTCACATTCTTGACCTGTATGGCACCTTTTCTGAGCAGCACCTTCTATCCCCAGCAACTGTGTTCATAGTGTCTGGCTCAGCTAGTCACCACTGAGTACAGAGAAGCCCCATCTCCCATTGAGTGGGCAGCAGTTCTTTGTGCAAGGCCCCCAATGCTTCATTTTATAGAAAAGGAGGCAGGAGGGGAAGGACAGGCCCTGGAAGATGCTGTGCAACAATAGAGAGGCAGAGCCAGCTCTGGAACAGAGGCTCTTGTCTACCAGTGTCCTCCTGCAGAGTACCAGCCACATCCTCCAGACCCCTGTCCTAAGCTGCCCACCCAGGGCTTCCTTCAGAGCATCTTTCTGAAGGCAAGAGCAGAGGGATATGAGTAGCAGTAAACAGAGAGAAGAGAGTCATGTGCCACTCAGCATGGCCACAGTTTCCCATTGGACCCCATTGCTCTCTCCTCCCCACTGGACTCCAGATACACCAGAGACTGGGAAATGCTGGAGACTTCTAGGCCCAGGGACAATCTGGAAAGTAGCTATTTATTCAGGCATTCAAGGAAAGGAAAGCTTCCCCTCCAAGTGCCTTCTTCTTTTTGCTTTGATATAACACACATTTATTAAATACCTACTGTATGCCATGTACTACACTGGATTCTAGTATGCTGCTGAAAATAAGAAACACAATTGTAATGTTTTCCATGGGGCTGATGGTCTAAGAAAAGTAGGCAACAACTGAATAAGAAATTATAGGAGGTACAAGAGGACTGATGGGACATATAGCACTCCAGTCTGTAATCTATTGCTGTGATAAAACACCTTAGACTGTGGGGTTTTTTTTTTTTTTGTCCAGTCATGGGGCCTAAACTCTGGGCCTGGGCACTGTCCCTCAGCTCTTCAGCTCAAGGCTAGCACTCTACCACTTGAGCCACAGCACCACTTCTGGCTTTTTTTTTCCTGCTTATGTGGTGCTGAGGAATCAAACCCAGGGCCTCATGCATGCAAGGCAAGTGCTCTACCACTGAGCCATCTTCCCAGCCCTATACTGTATATTTTATAAACAAAAGAGGTTTGTGTAGAACTCAGTTTTGGAGGCTGAAGGCTTAAGATTTGGTGTTCCCATTAATTTGGCCTCTGGTGAGGGCCTTGTTAACTGTATCACAGCATGGCAGGTAGCCTCAGGATGGGAAGCATGTGTGAGAAGAGATTACATGGAAACCAGATAGAAAACCAGAGAGATTCAGGGCTAGACTTGCTTATTTAATAGCAAATCACCAGAAGTAACTCAAGTTCTTCCAGAGCTACATTAATCCATTCTAGTCATAGAGCTCCCAATGACCTAACCATCTCCCAATAGGCCCCACCCCTTAAAGATTCTACCTCCTCTTAATACTGCCACATCAAGGACTGAACCAGCAGCACCTGGACCCTTGGGGTACAAACTGTACCCAAATCATTGTCTGTCTTACCTTGGTCTAGAGGTCAGGAGATGTATCAGTGGGCTGGGATGTTGGAGCTAGGACAGAAGGAGGGGTAGAGCCTGGTACCTCTTTCCAGCCCCTGGGCTACCCTCTTAATTCTCCAGGCTACCACCATACCCAGAACATGGAGAAGAGTAGGGTATTTTCCAAGAGCTAGAGGGTGGGTTCCAGCTGAGGGACAAGGGGGAGGTCCTTGAAGTCCTGAGCCAGGATGTGACATGAGCTGGGTCACCCAAAGAAGGCACTTGCTCGCTCTTCCCACCCATCCTCCTTTGTCTGGTTTCCAGCCTTCTGTAGACTCCTGGGGCCTTACCTGTTCTCCTCCTTCCAGGCCACAGATGAAGACTCCCCTCCCAACAACCAGATTACCTATAGCATTGTCAATGCCTCTGCCTTTGGCAGCTACTTTGACATCAGCGTGTACGAGGGCTATGGAGGTGAGTGGCATGGCACTGAGCACCTAGCTGGGAAGATGGCTGGTTAGTGGGTTTCTTGCACTCTCAGCCTTCTCTAGAGGGGGAAAGTCATCTTCTGCCTCCCAGTGCCGCTGGTACTCAGGGAGCTGACACCCTCCTGGAGCAGCATGTAGGAGAAAGGAGTCCTCAAACTGCCTGGGGAGATCTGTGGTGGAGTCTTAGCGGCTGAGTCTCCTGCCACAGCCCCATGCTCCCCTCTCAGCCTTTCCAGCCATGGCCTGGCCCACTCTGAGCTTGGTGTTTTCATCTATGAAGTAGTGCTTACCCATATATTCTCAGCCTGAGGGGGAACTGTGGCTTCTGGGACAGCTGAAGTCTGCTTACAGGGGGCCTAGATTCCCACTCCTGTCATTTCAGTGATCAGTGTGAGCCGTCCCCTGGATTATGAACAGATTCCCAATGGGCTGATATACTTGACAGTCATGGCCGAGGATGCCGGCAACCCCCCTCTCAACAGCACCGTCCCAGTCATCATTGAGGTGTTTGTAAGTATCAGCGGCCCTGCCCCAACCCCATGGTATAGGGCCATGTCCCCTACATCTTTGCCTGTCTCCACAGCTTAGAAGGTCCCAAGGTCTGCTTCCAGCATACCTCTCCATTGCTGTAGCCACTTGTCAGTATGACTGACCAGGGAGGCCTGGAAGCTCAGGGGCACTGACTCTGCTCTGACTCCATGTAGGGGAGCTTCAGGACAGACTTTGAGGGAGGAGGAGCTGAGAACAGCAAGAAGGAAATGGAGTGACAGCAAGGAGGAAATGGAGTAGGGTTCTTTCATTGATGGCCAAGTACTTCAAAGCCTTCAGGGATACCGGGAAGGTCACCCCTTCCCCATCCCCCTCTCTTCTATTTCTAGTCTCTCCTCTGTCCCTCTGCTTTTCTCTTATCTCTTCCCACCCCTTTAAAGACCTAAAGGGACTGGAAAGCAAAGCATGGCTTGTCTGACATGAATGTCAAGCACACCTTAGTGTGTCCCTGTCTAAAATTATCAGTCCCTCAATCCATCTCCACGGCTGGCTCATTTTCCCCCCATGCAGCTCCCCTAACCATCCTGGGGATGCAGAGCAAGCTGGACAGTAATGCTCATGGGCCTCTCCCCCCTGAGGCCCTCACATACCTGATCAAGCACAAGCACACCCCTCCTCCCACTCCCCCCACACATCTAAAGGAAGAGTGAGCACGTCGTCAACGGAAGTCAGTGCATTATCAGCTCCCAAGGATTAAATCAGATATCAGCTAGGAGATACACAGAGATTTGACATAAGCTTAGTAAAGTCTGGCCCAGAGCCAGCTTGCTGGGTGGTCTTTCCTGTCACTGCCAGCTTCATCAAGCATGGACCAAAGCCCCGGTGCCACCTCCCACTTGGGAAGCTTCTAGCCCAGGTAGGAGGCCCTCCTTACATCCCTACTAATGTGGAGCTTGGGTAATGGGAAAAGGAGGCAATGCCTGGGGGAGCCTTCCAGGTGGGTTTTGGGAGTGGGGAGGGGGAATAAACTTCAGGGTGGCAGGGAGGCCAAGGCTAGGCACATGCAGGGACAGAGGGAGGTGCAGACTCAGGGCCCTGCTTCTAGAGCCCTTGCTTAGGACCACAACAGGAAGTGACTTCACAGGAAGAGACTCTCCGCCAAATACTCTGTCTTAAACCCACCACCTCTTGCCTTAGTCCACAGAGCCTGAAGTCATTCCCTGCATATAATGGTGTCCTGGTGTTCTCCACCTAGTGGCCTGACCCTGACTGCGGATCTCAACCTGACTTTGGTTTCACTTGGCAAGCCAGGTGCACCCTGGGATGAGCCTTATTTGCACGTATCTGCTCCCCCTCTGGTGCTGCCAGAGGGGTCCACAGGGTTTTGGTGCTTGCCTCTTGTCTACCCCAGCCCCCTGGCAGTGGGAGGGACTGGCAACAAAGACAGGCACATCTATTCTGTCTTGGTCTTCAGAGCAGGGCTTTTTACACAGCACAGTCACTCGTGTCTAAGGACCACACTTGAAAAGGTCACCGCCTTCGGGCTGATTTTGCATGTGGGTGGTTTTTAAGTAGCTGTCACTCCACTAAGCTGCCTCCTCCCTTCACCAAAAAGGATTTTTTCTCGATTGAAAAGAAAAAAAGAAAAGGAAAGGAAAACCCAGCTGGGCACGATGGAGTAGCTGGCCAGGGGTGGGGAGAGACGGATCAGAGCCTTGGGGCTCAGAGGAGGAGCAGGTGAGAAGGGCCAGGTGATTCCTTTTCATCCACTGCTTGTTGGTTTTTAATAAAGAAGTCAAACTCGGTTTGTAGATTTCCCATTAGGGGACAATAAGCTTTTTATAGTGGGAGCTGTTGAATTAGAACTAATAGCGAACAGAGCTCCAGGATCCGGAGAAATATCGCTAATAAGTTTCTGCCTCGCGCTCCGTCACTGACATTCTCAGCGGCGTTTCGTGCAGTGAAGCAGAAGCTCTGCATGAGTGTGTGTGGACCTACACTTGTGCCCTCACAGAGGTAAGGGAGAGGTCTCACTGTACCAGTGCAGGCATCAGATAACCAGGGAGGCCTGAGGCCACCAAGTTCCCTAGCAAGAGGGACCGGTTAGCATGAGCCAGCAAGGGGGTCAGTTTGGGGATTATGGGAGCAGAGCAGGCTGGGGTGCTCTAAGGTCCTGAGGTGTGGCAGACCAGGTGGCATGGCCTTATCTCTCCTGTGTTCATAGCTAGACATGAGGACAGTAAGAGGGAGGATCCTAGCTGGGAGATGGTGGTTCACACTTGTAATCCTAGCTACTCAGGTGACTGAGATCTGAGGATTGAGGTTCAAAGCCAACCCCGGGCAGGAAAGTCCATGAGACTCTTACCTCCAATGAACTACAAAAAGCTGGGAGTGGAGGGGTGGCTCAAGTGGTAGAGCACTAACATTGAGCACAACAGCTTAGGGAAAGTGTCCAGGCCCTGAGTTCAAGCCCCAGGACCAGCAAATAAAATTTAAATAAATTAATAAAAATTAATAAAGGAAAAAAGGATCCTTCCCCTCAAAGGTTGAATAGAGCCGGACCTAAGATTGTTATGGCAAGGGTTGGGGTGGGGGAACTCACCCAGTGCCCGAGGTCTGTCTGCACACTGCTCTTAGGGCACAGGGTGAGTGGGGGTGGCTCAGAGCCAAGTTACCCAAGAGTGAGCAGGAAGAATTTTTGACTAGTGATTGCAAAAGCTGTGGTTAGGAGAAGAGTCTCAGACACAGGGGAGCTGCTCTGAAGGATAAGGTGAGGGAGGGACTATATATAAGGTAAGAGAGAGACTATACCTGCTGCTGATTCCCCCAAGACAGCCCCACCCTCCCTCTTGCCTGGATCAGCACCTCAGCCAAGTGCCTGCTGGCCTGGTGCAGACTGGGCCACAGGAGAGAACACTCCAAAGATTGGCAGTGCCAGGCTGTGTGTGTGTGTGTGTGTGTGTGTGTGTGTGTGTGTGTGTGTGTGTGTGTGTGTGTAGCTGTAGGTATATATAGGAGGGTCTGCATGTCTCCACTTGTAGCCAGCCCACGGCAGGTATCCCAGCTCTGAAAATGATCTGTCCTGCCACTGCATACTTCAGTATCTTTTAGGGTTATGTGATTTTTTTCTTCCTTCCTTCTTGTGGGCCTCCTAGAATCTTCCTCCATCTTAGCTGAACTAGAAGGGAAGATGAAGGAGACAGCTCCTGCCTGGGGCAGATGTGCTGAGGGAAAGAAGACTGGGTGGGGACCAGGAACACTGGGAGTTGTAGGCAAGCCGACTCCATCTTTACTCACTATCTCTTGGTCCCATAGCATTGCACAGGCTTTCTTGAGTCCTGTCTTACCCTGAACATATCCCACCCAAGAGACAGCTGACTCTCATGACGCTATGCCAGAACTCCCCAGGCCCAGTGGGCACAGCCTGCCCCACAGCACCTGCTCTGGACAGCTGGACAGCCTGGCTGACCCCTGGCACCTGTAACCCATCTGCTTTTTTTTTTTTCCAGGATGAGAATGACAATCCTCCCACCTTCAGCAAGCCTGCCTACTTTGTCTCAGTGGTGGAGAACATCATGGCAGGTATGCCAGGGCAGGGGGTAGAGGGCCTGAAGGTGGGCAGCCAGCAGGTGCAGGCACCTGCCATGTGTAGACTCCAACAGAGAAGGCCTAAGGCCTTCTCTGTCTCCTAGGCAGAGCATCTTTCTACAAGTCAGGAGCAGTTTTGGAGACATCTAGTTACAAGCCAGAGCACTAGGAGTCAACACCCCACTGGGCACTAGGTCCCTGCCCTCCTGTAGCTAGTCTAGTGGGAAGAGAATAATGATCCACATTTCATTAAGCAATCCAGATAAAAGACTCTAGAGCACAAAGAGTTCTGAGACTGTGGTGCTATAAGATCCATCCCAGGAGCCATGACATCCAAGAGAGTGTCCCTGAAAGGCAGCCTTGCAGCATGCTCCTAGACAGCTGGAGTCAAAGACAGCCAGAGACAGGGCCAGCTGGAATTAGGAATGCTCTTCCATGTACCACTGGCCTTCTAATGAGAGCCTTTGCATATCTCTCTGGTGTCTAATGCCAGCCTGTGCCCAGCTGATCCTTTCCTATTCTGACTAGGAATCCCCTGACCAGGAGTCCCCAGCCCTCCCCCCCTCCCAGGGCCTCTTGCAAGGAGGGGCCTTTCCTGTGCATCTAGTTGTGTATGCTTCGATAAAGGGACACATCCTGATCAGGATGGAGAGTCTGATCTGAGGCCCCAGGCCACCACCCCTGAAAGGCACCCAGCCTGCCCTTCCCAGGTATTGTGGGCACTCAGCACAGGAGCAGCTATGGTAGCTATGGTTATGGGCGCAGGGCACCTAGATGCTGCACCTTAGGAAGCTTCCCAGCCACCCTCAGGTAGATGTCCTGCTAGGTTCATTTACAGAGGATAAGAACCAGATGCTCTGACCAGGGGACTACAGGTAAAGATTCTGCTGGAAGTGGTGCTGTGGCTCAAGTGGTTGAGTGCGCACCTTGAGCTGAAGAGCTTGGGGACAGCGCCCAGGCCCAGAGTTCAAGACCCATGACCAACAAAAACAAAAACAAAAAAACAAAAAAGACTCGGTAGCCTGCACACTGCAGCTGGCAAGTAGATGACATGAGGGTGGGCACAAGCCTCAGCCTCGCAAGCAACCACCACTCATCATGGCATCTGGCCAGAGCTGGAAGAAAAGCTAATTCCCAACCCAGGACTTCATGTAGCTGGAAATGAAGGCAAAGGCCTTAACTGGACATTAACGAGAAAATAAAAACCCATATAAATTCCCCTGCGAACGGATAAAACAGAACCAAAATTGGATGCAGTAAATGTAGAATAAGTTAATATGGAGCTTCATTTCTATTTGACTCAAAGTAAAAGCTGGTCAATCTGTGGGGCAAGTCAGGTGGGGGTGGGAAGTGCAGAGGGAGGTGGGGATGGCTCAGCCCACCCCAGGCTGACTTCACCCATCCACAGGGCCTTGCCCTACCTGCCCAGGGATCTTGGCCACAAGCAGTGGGTAAGTCCAGTCTTGTCCCTGGGACACCCCACAGGCAGGCTGCTCACTTCCCTAAGGCCTGGTCATCCAGAGGTTCCCAGGTCCTGGTCCCAGGGACTAAGCAACATCTCTGCCTCCTTGTCGCCTTAAAGGAGCCACAGTGCTGTTTCTGAATGCTACAGACCTGGACCGCTCTCGGGAGTATGGCCAAGAGTCCATCATCTACTCCCTGGAAGGCTCCTCCCAGTTCCGGATCAACGCCCGCTCTGGTGAGCCCCCAGGCCTGACGCTCACTCCCCCACCTGGACAGTCTGAGCTGCATCTTCTCCTTTTTGGTTGGGCACAACCTTGCTATAAGAACCTGTTTTTATCCCTACGCTAGTCATTTGAATATGGTTACTGATCTTACCCCTAAACAATCTCTTCGTGAATCTATTCACAAAAGGATGTCTTCCAAGGGTAGAGTTATCCCCCTCCCCAACCCCCAACAGCTGGCTGACATGTGGCACATCTGGGACACATGTACTCACACCTCAGGGTCCCTTCCTCAGCCGACTTCGTCCTTGAATCCTGACTCTTCCTCATATACACCTGTGTGCCTGGATTAAATGAGTGACTATAGGGAACACACTCAGACTAGGGCTGAACAAAATTAATATCATTATTTTCTTTTATTTCTTCATCTAGCACACTATTCCCATCTTCCTGCTCAGCTTGTATAACTTTCTCTCTTTCTTCATCACTTTATATGCCTCCCTCTAGTTTTCCCTCCTTAAAGCTAAAGAGAAAGAAAGAAGCAACAAGAGACCTCAGGCAGTTTAGCCAGAACTAGAAGGAATCTGAAATCCTTGAGGCCACTCAGAGGTCAATGGGGACTGAGCCAGGCACTATGTTAGGTGCTAGGGCAGGAAGAGTAAGATCCAAGTCAGCCTTGTAGGCTGGCAAAGCACTGGCTTCCCCAGCTCCCATTTCTGTGTGAGATGCCTACAGAACCCTGACTCTCAGTGTCTGAGGACAGTAGAAGCACACAGTGGTCCAGGGTTGACATTCTACAAGATGATTCTCCGCCTGGGCCCCTTCCAAATTGTGGCTCTCTATGGTTCATTGTGTTGAGGAAGTTGATAGGCCAGACCTGGAATTGACATGCATCATTCCTGCCCATAGCCCATTGGTCAGACCAGGCAATGGACCCACCTACATGACAGGAAGCCTAGGAATGGAGACCCTGCCTGTCAATCACCTTGTAGCAACATTTCAACTCTGGGAAGTGAGTAAGAATCCTGAGGAATACTGTCTATCCCTGCCACAGGTGATCAGGAGCCCACGAGGGCATCAAGCCTTCCTGTTACCCACACTTCCTGGAAGTTGGCCTTCATTGTCTTTTATCTCAGAAACTCAAGGAGCAGATAGCTGGAAGAGAGGGGACCCAGGGCCCTCATGAGCCTCTTCTTCCAACTCTGAAAACACAAAGGTCTTCTTCCTACCTTCAAAAGTGAGCCCCCACCCCCAGAAAGTTTAGAGTAATAGTCAGACCTCAACATCTACTCAGGTCTTGGTTCACAGACCCCTTACAGACACCAAAATGCTCCAGTCCCTTATGTATACAGTGTGGTATTTGCATATAACTTTCAGACATCACCAGGCATCCTCAAACCATTTCTCCCATTATTATAATACCTAATTCAGTGTAAATACTAGGTAAGAGGTTGTTATACTGTTGTTTAGGGAATGTACAACAAGTATGTATGAAAATCTGTACATGCTCAGTCTAGATGCAATCATTTAATGAGATTTTTCCATCCGTGGAGAGTTGAATCTACATATATGGAGTCCATAGTCAATATTATTCATTACTATGTACCGCATGCCCACCCCTGCTCCTCATTCTGAAATTGGTCCCATCTCACTTCCCCCTCCAGATGAGGAAACTGAGGCACATGAATTTGACTAGGAAAGCAGAGTCTGACTGATCTCTTGACCCTAGAGCCCAAATGCTAACTGCTATGGTCTGTGAAGTTACATTATGGTCCCTCCTGCCACCCTAATGTAATAGGGTCTCTCTGAGTACCCCCTGCCCTGGCCTTGATTCAGAGACACCTCATGACAGCACAGACATTTTTCTATTACCTTGGAGCCTGTTCCTTCAAGCTCCTTTGTAGTATTACCCAGGCCCAGTGCACAAAGGTGGCCTTAATTGGATCTAATTTCTCAGACAGGAGAGGCCATCAATCATGCTGACAATTTCATGTTTAAAACTTTTCAGAGATTAATTTCTTCCGTGCCCTGCCAATTAATTGACACCACCCCAGTGGGGAGCATGGCTCAGTGGGCAGACCTTGGCCAGTCTTTGGTTCTTGGCCTTGGTATCTTGGCTGCCTTGTCCCTCATCCTTGGCTCCCTGATCAGTCCCATACCAGCCAGAGAACAGACAAGAGTGCCAAGGAGGGAAATGGCAGAATTTAAATGGCCCCTGGAACAAACTACCTCAGCAACATTGTTTTATGGTAGAAGAAATCAAGCACAGAGCAGCTAAACAACTTGTTCTAGGTCACAAAGCTCAGGCAATGGGAATAAAAGGGTGGGCAGCACCCAATCCCTGCCCCTGGGAAGCTTTCAGAGTCCACTGGAAGAGAGTGATCATTTTCTTCACCTCAGGTTACTTCATCTTTACACCTCTGCTGAGAAAGCATGTTGATGTCCAGTATGCAGACAAGCAAACTGAAGCTTAAAAAAATGAAGTATCTCTCCCAATACTGAGCATCTGCCCAGTGCTGGTGGCTCACACCTGCAATCATAAGTACTCAGGAAGCTGAGATCTAAAGGACTGAGGTTCAAGGACAGGCCAGGCAGAAAAGTTCATGAGATTCTATGTCCAAAAATAACCAGGAATAAAAAGAGCTAGACATGTAGTTCAATTAATAGGGCACAAATACGAGACCCTGAATTCAAACTCTAGTGCCACAGAAACAAAGCAGAAAGCCTAAGCTGGACAACTAGAAAGGGCCAGAATCTCTATTCTCAATGTGGAGACTACAACAAAGAGTAAACAAATGTACCAGTACTACTCACTAGACACTATGTTGAAAATGAACTATGCAACTTGTGGGAAGGGACAGGAGGGGAAAACTCGGAGAGAGCAAAGGAAGGAGTGACATTGTCCAAAAGGAAATGTACTCATGACCTGACCCCTCTGTACATCACTTTTATAACAATTTTAAATTATATATATATATATATATATATATATATATATATATATATACATATACATATATATGGCAGAGACTGCAGCCTTCAGCTGTGTGAGCTGGTAGATGGCCTGGCCATGCATGGTGAGGGGCTGAGGTACTCTTGCTAGCCCCCACCAACCAAGCAAGCTCTATGGTCAATGCTATCAAGTCAGCAACTTGAAATGGAGCCCTGGTGGGAGTATTCACACCACCAAAATCAGCAAATGCTTTTTCCCGTGGCTAATTGCCAAACATTTGCCAGTAAGCCCTTCCCAAGATGACGTCTGTCATTGAGTTATATCAAAATGCAAAGACATGCAGCAACAGCTGACAAAAATTGCCGTATTTTAAGTGTTTCTGCTTAACAGGGTAACTTGTTTACACACTGAAGGAAGTTAAGACAATATAATTAGGCTATAAATGGATAATTAGGACATGATCTTATAACTACCAATCCTCCATGTGCTCTCAGTTCCCACGCCAAGGCCTGAGTCACAAGCCTGAACCTCCAGGGAAATGCGGAGGGTTTCCTCTTCCTGTTGTCTCCCAGGATTAAACTACGTGGCATGCTTGTAAGGTTTATATGACATTAGCCAAATCCCACAGCAGTCCTGTCTTATAATCTTCTGGTGTATTGTTCTCTTTTTGACCATATGAAGAAACTGAGGCAGAGAGGATCCAAGGAATCTCTTCCAGGCGGTGAAGCCAGTAAGATAATGTCATATCTAAGCCAGCGGCCTACTTGGGCAGGGGGAGGCACAAATAGCCCTTCAGGCCTGTTCTTCTGCCCCTACCCCTAGTATTGGACGAGGTTTCCCACATTTTTGAATATCTCCATGTTACAGGGTGCTGCTGCCCAGTTTTGGGGTCCTGGCTCCAAAGCATGTGTGCTGGCTCCCATGAGCATTCTCCACTTCCCCAGCACACAGACACAGATACACATGGCCACTGTCAGAGCTTGCAAGAACCTCTCATGCACACCTCTCTCTCTCTCTCCCTGTCCTGCCCTCACTTGGCCTACCTAAACCCCCTCACATGCTCACCCCTCTGTCTGGCAGGTGAAATCACCACCACATCTCTGCTTGACCGAGAGACCAAGTCTGAATACATCCTCATCGTACGCGCTGTGGACGGGGGTGTGGGCCACAACCAGAAAACTGGCATTGCCACCGTAAGTGCCTAGGGGCCTCCTGTGCCCCCTAGAATCCCTGCTGACCAAGTCTTGTTGAACATCTTCTAGGAAGCAGGGCCCAGGACCATCATCCCCTGCCCAAGCCCTTGTGGTGTTGAGAAGTGACGTCTGAGTCTCTCTATTCAGAGCCAGAAATGAAGACTCAGAGCCCCAGGCAAAGGAGCCTCAGCTAGGAGAGAGCGGGCGAAGGAACTTAGGGGCCCTGGGTGACATAAAGAGCAGAAAATCCTTTGCAGAAAGGGGAAGGAGAAGACAGCCTTACTAAGCCATCCCAGCCACCCCAGTTCCTTATTTCCCATGGCTGCCTTGGGCTCTCCCTGGGGACAACCCTCCTCCCCACTCCCCACAACCTCGCACCATGGTCCTTGCTCACCAGCAGTCTCTGCCCCATTCTAACCCATTCAGAGACTCTAGAGCTGAAGCTGACATCGCTTAGCCCAGGATGTGGCAGAAAACCTCACAGTGCCCTCCTCCCTTCTGGGAGGCCTTGACAATAGGAAGCACAGCCCTCTAAATAATTTACCTGGTGGCAGGTGAGCAAGGAAATTGCTTGGCTTGTAGTTGAGACTGGGAAGCTCAAGTGATTCTCTCAGATCCTCCAACTGTCAGTCACCTTCCCCAGGACATGGGTGGGTAGACAATGCCCTGGACCACAGCAAGGCTGTCAGGGGTCTTCTCGTCTAGTCTCTGCTTCCTAATGGACAGCACCTAAACCTTTTCCTCCCAAAGAAACCTGGATCCATGGCTGTCCTCAGAAAGCACTTGCCTAAGACTCCTAAGGTAGCCAGGAGTGGAGGGCTGTCTAGTGGAATTAGAGTCAGGAAGGCTTTGTGGCAACTGTATCTCTCTGGACCCTGCCCTTGCTGGAGCATCTCACAGCTCCCTCTTGTGGCTCCACAGGTAAACGTCACCCTCCTAGACATCAATGATAACCACCCCATCTGGAAAGATGCTCCCTACTACATCAACCTGGTAGAGATGACGCCCCCAGACTCTGATGTGACCACGGTAGGTGTGGGGGACAGTGGAATTGCCAGGCAGCTGGGTGGGTATATTCCCATTGTGGTCTCTGTGGCCTACCACATGGGACTCACAGACCTGTTGTTTTGCTCCATCTGAAGTTCTCCATGCTCTTTGTTAGGAAAGACGGTCAGAGTTGGGGAGAAGCTCCCCCAATGTCAGCTTTGGGCTGTGTGGCAGAGCCTGTGGCAAGGAGACAGGACCCCTTACATCTGAAGCCATCCTTGTCTCCAGACTCCAGAATTCTGACCAACCTCAAACCACACCCTACCAGCTCTGCCCTGGCACCTGCCCCTCCAGAGTTGCAAAAAACACTAGCTTGGTCACCTCTGGCCCACTCTGGCCCCCAGGGATGCCCCCAACTGCAGCTTTGTCAGGGCCTATGTGCAGGTACCTGTGGGCAGGGCTGACCTGAGATAGGAATGGGAGGCATAGCCAAAGACACTGGGCACCCAGAATGGAGCCTGGCATCGGAGGCATGTGAGGAGAGGCCGCTCATGCCCCCTCTCTCCTTTGCTGTGAGATTCATATTTGCAGGCCCTTCCTTCCCCCACCTTTAGTTCCATTTGGACTCATTTGGGGAGGCTAGTTCCCATTTGTCCAGCCCTATTGCCTCCCAGCGAGCCTGTCATGGACACAAACTCTGAAATTTTATAGTACCCTGGTTATTGAGCTCTGGGAACTGTGTACCACCATGCCAAGGGCTGCTCCTAGGTCCTCTTGTCTTCACAATACTCTCTCCCTGGGGCAGGTGGGGCCATTGCTCCCATTTACTGTAGAGGAAACAGACTTAGAGCTGAAGGAGTTTGTGCAGGCTTATAAGAAGTGATATGAGGTTTTAACCCGAGTCTGCCTGACTTTGAAACAAGGGATTAGAAACTACCTTGTTTAGTCCCTGTTCATCTGCCATTCATGGGGTACTTGTAAGGTGTCCCAGGGCCTAAGAACCTGGGGGGATTTGGGGTGGGATAGGAATGAGGCTGTAACTTTTTGTATCAGGCTCTCTGGTAAGAATGCCCTACCCACACCTAAGCACTTTGGGGCTATGGTGATTAATCTCAGCCTTATCTCAGATTACCATGTCCTGTAGTAACAAAGCCAACCTGGACCAGATGAAAGAGGATGAAAACCTGAAAGGAAAGATGGGTGAGGGGCTGGGGCTTGGTGATTACTTGCCCTGTCCTCCTGTCCACATGTCCAAGATCTGAGTTGGCCTCTCCTAGGAAATCCAAAACAGTAAGTCAAGGGCAGAGGATGGAAGAATTTATGAATTTTTTAAAGCCTGAAGCAGAAGATTTCTTCCAGTCAGGGGCCAGATTTGGAAACCACTACTCTGGCCTGTTTGTAGAGCTCACTGGGGCTCCAGATCCAGTAGGAGCTGTCTCCTGCCACCTTGTGGTCAGCTGATAACAAGCCCTCCTCCTGGCCCCTACCAGGCCACCTCCCCACCTTAGCACTATGTTTCTAGAAAATTATTCCCAAGGGGAACTGAAAGGAAGGTAAGAGGTGGCTGTACCACAAACTGGCCGCATAGGACACCAGCAGGGGAGGGGGGACTGCACAAGACTCAGACCTAGCCCCATCCGGTCCGCAGTGGCCCTCTCTGAGGCTCCAGCACATTCTGAGCCAGGAGTAGGTGCAGATGATGGGCCTCAGGCCTGCCCAGAGGCTCCTCGCTCTCTGGGAACCATGAGAGCCTTTCATGGGTATAAACAGTGTACCAAGCTATGTGCTCAGCAGATGGAGTACAGGAGCAAAAAGGTCCCACCTTGCTTTGGGGTGGGGGGCTTGTGTCACCCTTCTGTAGTCCCCAGTACTACCCCATGTTTATCTTGAACAGATGGACTAGTGACCCCTGCAAACAGTGAGGACAGGACCCAGAAGCTCCACATGGGCAGGCACAGAGCCCCAAAGGCCAAAAAAGAAAAGGACAAAAAAAGATGAAAAGTTGTTACATTAAATATCCACCAAGTATAATTTGGCAGCTTTAGTAATTAGAGAATATCATGTTTGTGGAACTTTTTATTATATGGGAGAACAAATTCTAGGCTAGATTTTTTTTTAGAATTCTTAAGATGATTCCAGAATTACATATAATAATTGCCAGAAAACCAGAAATCGAGAAGCTTGGTGGGACATGGTGGCATATACCTACCATTCCATTTGGAAGCTGAGGCAGCATGTGAGTTCCAGGACTAAAGTATATAGCAAGACCCTGTCTCAAAAATGCTAGAGGAGGAGGGAGAGGAAGGAGGAAGTTATTTTACTAAATCTTTAATCTTCAGTCAAATTGATCATACAAAATAATTTCAAGAATAGTCATAAAATTCTTAAATTTTATAGTCATATATACACACACATGTATACACACACACACACACACACACACACACATGTCTAAGGCCTCACTGGTGATTCTGCCAGGTGGAGCTAGGGCTGGGGATGGGGAAGGAAGCTTCCCCAAAGGGTCAGGTGACCAGGAGGTGACACTAGATAGGACTGGACCCAGAGCTCCATGTGGTGCCTCTGCCCCCTCTATCCTGATGCATTCAGAGCAGTTGCCTGCATACTAAGAGGCAGCTAGCTCAGGGCTAGGTGGGAAGCCCCTGGTAGCAAAGTGCCCAGTTCTGTCCCAGCTGTACCAGCTGTGTGATCATGAGCCAGGTACTGAACTTCTCTGTGCTCCAGTCTCCCACCTAGAGAGCCCCATATAAGCCAGGATGCACAATGCGCAGGCCACAGTGAGCACTCAGTAAATGGCAGCCCTCCTGCTAGAATCTTTGTTTTCTAGTGAGCCCTGCCCAGTGCTGACTGCATTGTGGGCTGGCATACCTCAGTGTGTTTGTTCAAAGGCCTTGTTCCGTCTAGCCCACTCCACCTGCAGCCGTACAGGCTGGGGAAGGCTCTTCCTCCTCTGAAGGATTGGGGTGTGATCCAGGGCCCTCCCAAGGGCCCCTCTTGCAGGGTCATTGGCCAGCTCTCCAGGAATGAGAGTGATGGAACCCTGGGATTTTTCAGAGCTATATACATCAAGTGTGCACCCCTCAGTGCCTTTGGCAGTGTAGTTGGTGTTGGCGGGATGCCTGTGTCTGTGTGTATGGGCACAGGGCTCCTAGGGCATTCCCTTGCCAGGCCTGTGCTGCAAAGCAGCTGTACACCTCCCACCCCACCCCTTCTCTGCAGTGAGCTTCAGCCCCACTCTCCATGCTGGCTCCTGCAGCCTCTTTCAAGGACCTGGCTGATGGGCATTGATTTAGAGCCTTTCAAAGCCCTCCAGCAAAATAAAGAAGAGGGAGAGAGAGAGAGAATTATTCCCCGTCAGGCCAGGAGAAAAATGATGGGCGTGAAATGGGAAATAAATGAGGGAAGAAGTGGTGAGGTGAGAGACCAGGCTGCCAGTGGGGAGCCTGTGGGCAGGGTCACCACTCTGCCCTCCTCTGTGGAGGGGCCCAGAGACCCCCTCAGTGCCCACCCACAACTAGGGGACTTGCAGGCAACTACGCAGGTGCCCTCTGTGTGAGGGAGAGCCCCTCCTGGGCCCCGGGCAGATCCTTTTGCTTTGAGCCTTAGTCTCCGTATCCAGAAAAATGGGGATTAAAACAATTCTCTCCTGCCTCTAACTGTAGAGAGATCTGCAGAAAGGCAAGGGTCTGTGGCCTCCTGTGACCCCCCTCAGTGACATGACAAGGCCTGACTTCAGTTATGCTTTGTCTTCTGTTTCCAAGAAGAGGTTGATGGGTCTCTGCTGTGGAGGCTGGAGAATGTGTAATGTGGCACGGTGAGGGCACCTTAGCAGGAAAATGGGGACCCCTCCTCACCTTTCAGTGCCACAGGCTGGGAAAGAAGAGGCATGGGAGCTCTGATGTAAGTGGGCCTTGGTGGCAAAGGTCCAGCTCTGCCCTAGCCTGTCTTTCTGGCCTCTTAGCACCAGGGACAGGGACAGGCAGAGCCCGGGGCCACCACAGCCCATCCATCTGTTCTGGTCTAGTGACCCCACAGACATCTTGGCTGGAGATGAAGCCAGAGCAAGGACAAATTCTGCTACCCAAGCACAAAGACCCCATCAAGCGAGAGGAAGGTGTTGACGAGCCCTGGCTGTCATTACCAGGTGTCCTGGAGTTGAGAATGACACTGCCTGTTGCCGCCCCACCCAGGGACTACAACCACCCCCCCCCCCACACACACACAGTGGTCCTGTCCACCTAGGTGCCATGGTGACTCATGGTGCAAAACTCAGGCCTCCAGGGTGGAAGCTGGGGGCCTGAGATTGGTGCTGTGTGACCTTGAGTCTAGCATATGCTTCTCTGGGCTCTTTTGTTTCCCTTTCTAAAATGAGGTCCAGGGCATGGTGCCATACTCACGTCTATGACCTCTGGTGTCACAGAGGCCCTCATAACCACAAGCTCCAAAGGACCAAAGAGAGGGTTTAGAGCCAGGCACAGTGGCTTATGCCTGTAATCCTAGCTACTCAGGAGGCTGAGATCTGAGGATCACCATTCAAAGCCAGCTTTGGCAGGAAAGTGAGACTCTTACCTCCAATTAAACACCAGAAAGCTGGAAGTAGAACTGTGGCTCAAGTAATAGAATGCTAGCCTTGAGTTTAAAAAGTTCAGGGATAGTACCCAGGCTCTGAGCTCAAGGCCTAGCATGAGAGAGAGAGAGACAGACAGACAGACACACAGACATAGAAACAGAGAGAGAAAGAGGGAGAGGAGGGAGAGGAGGGGACAGAGAGAGAGAGGAAGGAGGAGGAAGAGAAGAAGATGAGAGAGAGGAGAGAGAGGGGAAGAAGAAAAAGGAGGAGAGAAGAGGAGAAGAGGGGACAGAGAAGACAGGACAGAGAGGACAGAGGAAGGAGGAGGAGAGGGAGAGGAGAGAGATTGGGACACATCTCCCTGAACATCTGGAGAGGAAAGAAGCATACAAGTGCCCATAGCGTGGGCTCTGGAGAGGAATAGCAATGGCCCCCAAGACCTTCCTTGAGGTTGGTAAAGTCTCACCATGCCTTGCTGTGAAGTGGGTCTGGCCCCTGAGGCTGTGGGTAAAGTCTCACCATGCCTTGCTGTGAAGTGGGTCTGGCCCCTGAGGCTGTGGGTAAAGTCTCACCATGCCTTGCTGTGAAGTGGGTCTGGCCCCTGAGGCTGTGGGTAAAGTCTCACCATGCCTTGCTGTGAAGTGGGTCTGGCCCCTGAGGCTGTGGACAGTATGTGGAGAGGAGCCGGTGCCTCTGCGACACCAGGGGCCTGTGTCATGGGCACGCGCTGGTGCCGGTGCCCACTGGACAAACTCCTGGAGTCCTTCTGTGGGCACCTGTTAGCTGATGTGAAGTCCCTACCCATTGTCAGCATGGCCAGACTCCCTGAGGTCCACCCAGCCAACCCCTGCTGGGGCATCTGTTCCTTTCCCGGGGCAGGTGGTGGCTGTGGACCCCGACCTGGGGGAGAATGGCACCCTGGTTTACAGCATCCAGCCCTTCAACAAGTTCTACAGCCTCAACAGTACCACGGGCAAGATCCGCACCACCCACATCATGCTGGACCGGGAGAATCCTGACCCAGTGGAGGCTGAGCTCATGCGCAAGATTGTCCTCTCTGTCACTGACTGTATGGGCCCCGCCTCCCCCAACTTGACCCATGACCCTCGGGAGGCTGGGGATGTCCTCTGGGGTCCTGGGGCTCACACAGGAGGGCAGTGTCTGAGCACCATGAGCAGAGTGGTACCCATTCCCAAGTGACACCCAGGTGGGGAGGGGTACAAGGCCCAGACTGTACCCCGGGGGGATAGGGGCTCACACCTGCCATTCTCTCTCCATTCACTTTTCTCTTGCATCCCTCCTCCCTCTCCTTGACCCCTTCTCCCCCTCCCCCCAGGCGGCACACCTCCTCTGAGGGCCACCAGCAGTGCCACAGTGTTTGTGAACCTCTTGGACCTCAATGACAATGACCCCACCTTTCAGAACCTGCCTTTCGTAGCTGAGGTGCCGGAAGGCACCCCTGCGGGAGTCTCGATCTACCAGGTGAGTGTCCCTCCCCTTGTCCCTGACAGCCCCCCCCCACCCCTGTGTGCCCTGTGAGGGCAGGAGGCAAGGGTGCCAACTGAGACTCCTAGAGGTCGCACACAGTATGTAGGCTTGGAACAGGTGCTGGGAGGGACTGGCGGTGGTCTAGGTGGCCCTGGAGACCCCTAGGGGTGGAGGGCTTCACTGGGTCCAGAAAGAAGTGGATTTGCAAAGGCAGAGGAGGCACCCCAAGGAAGGAGGGGGGAAGGCAGAAACCGAACTGGGGAGGGAAGCAGAGACTAAAAGCCAGGGAGGAAACTGGGTGCTGATGGCTCATGACTGTAATCCTAGCTACTCAGGAGGCTGAGATCTGAGGATCTGTGGCTCAAAGTGGTAGAGCTCTAGCGTTGAGCAAAAAGAGCTCAAAGAGCCCAAGCACTGAGTTCAAGCCCCACGATCACCAACATAAAATAAAATAAAATAATCTGGGAGGCCAAGTCTGAGAGTTTCACAGGTCAGATGATAAAAGGCTGGCCTAAGACTCCCCAAACCCACAGGTCTGGTACGCAGGGCTCTAGGCTCCTGCGCGGGTGTCCCATTTATTCCCCTGCCCTTGTAAGTGCCAAGGAAGCTCCACTCAGGGGAGGACTGGCCCTACGCAGCCAGGGGCTTTACAGAGCTTCACCCATGCCCTTGTAGCTCAGGGGAGGCCGGGCCCATCTTGAACCCTCTGCCTCACCTTCTATCATCCTAGTCAGAGGACTCTGAAGATGTCAATTCAAGGAAGGCCATCCTCAGCCAGAGCCAGTTAGACATTCTGGAAGATGCTCAGGGTGAAGAGTATGAGCTTTTGTGCTGAGGAAGTGGTTCAGTGGTGGATTCCTGCCTGACATGAGCAAGGCCCTGGAAGAAGAAGAAAAAGAAAGAAGGAAAAGAAAAGAAGAAGAACAAAAAAAAAAAACCTTGGAGTCTGACCGATATTGAGTGTGTATTCCATTTCTACCAGTGGAGTGCTGTGTGTCTTGGAGAACACTGCTCACCCTCTCTGAGCCTCCTGCTTTCTCACACAAGGACTGGAGATAACAGCAGGATTGCCTGGCTGTGCAGAGGGGGTGAAACCTGGCACTTGGCCTGCAGGAAGTGATCAGGAGCTGTGGGACTGTGGCATGGTTTGTGTTGGGATAGCCTGTTCTCACCCAAAGGCATGGCTGTGATGTAAGAGTGGGTGGCAGCATGCTGCTGCCTGCTGTGCCTCAGTTTCTTCACTTGTAAGAGGTAAATAGCAAGCTTTGCTTCCCAAAAACTCTCTCCAGCAGAACCCTCTCCCAGGCCCCAGCAGGGAGAACCCTGATCTCAGGACAACTGCCAGTCCCCAAGGAAGAAGTATGACATGAGAGAAAATGAGCCCTAAACTCAGAGATGGCAGGGAAAAGAGACACCAGCCAGTGCTCCTCTTGGCTCCTGGGGGAGCAGCCAAGCCTCGGGGCTTGGGCAGAACTTGGAAACCAGCTGTGCAGGCTTGAAGGCCAGCCTTCGCAGAGAGGTGTGGCCTCCTGTCCCATCCAGGGCCTCAGCCAATAGAGATGCCTGCTGGATTTGTGAGGGAATTTGCCCAGGGATTAGAGCTATGTGCAAAGAAAATGGAAGTCTTGAACCTCATCCTGGAGATCAGGCAAGCTGGACCAAAGCACCGTCTTGTGCAGTGTACATTTCTTCCCTTGGTGAGAGCCAAGCTTACTCCAAAGTTCTGATCCATGGTGCTTAGACCTGCAGGGTGCTTGGTGTAGCTCTGGTATTGGAAAGAACCTCATCTGCTCTTAGAATCCAATGAACTGACAAATGAAACCCTCAAGTGGCCTTGTGTATGTGTGTGCACACACCCATACTTGATCTCAGGGCCAAGACACTGACCCTTCACTTTTTTTTGTGGTTGTTGTTGGTTGTGGGGCTTGAACGCAGGGCCTGGGCACTGTCCCTCAGCTCTTCAGTTCAAAGCAAGGACTTTACCATTTTGAGCCACCGTGCCAATTCCAGTTTTCTGGTGGTTAATTAGAGATCAGAATCTCACAGACTTTCCTGCCCAGTCTGGCTTTGACCTGAGACCCTCAGATCTTAGCCTCCTGAGTAGCTAGGATTACAGATGTGAGCCACATTGCCCAGCTGTCCTTTAGCTTTTTTGTTCAATTTTTTTCCCCTCAAGGAGGGCACTTGAACCATAGCTTCACTTCTGACTTTTTACTGGTTAATTGGAGATATAAGTCTCATGGACTTTCCTGGATGAACTCACTGTGAACTGCAATTCTCAGATCTCAGCCTCCTAAGAAGCTAGGATTACAGGTGTGAACCATTGGTGGCCAGCATCCTCAAGTAACTATTTTGTTTGTGCTCGTCATGGGTCTTGAACTCAGGGCCTGGACACTGTCACTGAGCTTTTGTGTCCAAGGCTAGCACTCTACCATTTGAGCCACAGCTCTGTTTCCAGCTTTTTGGTTGTTAGTTGGAGACAAGAGTCTCATAAACTTTCCTGCACAGGCTGGCTTTGATCTGTGGTCCTCAGATCTCAGCCTCCTGAGTAGTTAGAAGCACAGGTATATCACTGGCACCCACATCCTCAAATGACTTCAAAGCTACTAATCTTGACATCTACCTGTCACCATTTTACAAATCATAGCCACCCATGGAGGGGAGCCTGTCACAGAGCATCCCATGAGGTTGAGCTCTGTCCATGATGCCAGGAGGAGTCTCCAAGCTGTAGCAATGCCCCCAGCCAGTGTCACAGGGCTGAAAAATGAGGATTTTTCTGGACTGCTAGACCCAAAGAAAGCATAGGACCTGCTGGAGTGAATTAGGGAGGGCTTCCTAAGTGGAGAGGAGGGCTTGGTGGAAAAGGCTTTGGGACCTAGAGAATGCCCCCACCCCGTCCCTGCCCTCATCCTTAGGCACACTTTGTACCTCTGAGCCAGAGCTCACCTGGGTACCTCTCAGTTCTGACAGGCTGTCCCTTCAAAGGCTCAGGGGACAATGTCTAGGTTGGAGGTCAGAAGAAGGGAGTAGTTATGTCTGGCGTGCCAGCTCAGGTTGTTCCTAAGGGAGAAGCATTAATCCCAATGTCCCCAGCCCTCACATGCCCCTCCTCTTCTTCAGGTGGTAGCCATCGACCTGGACGAGGGCCTGAATGGACTGGTGTCCTACCGCATGCAGGTGGGCAGGCCCCGCATGGACTTCGTCATCAACAGCACCAGCGGCATGGTACTTACCACTGCTGAGCTGGACCGGGAGCGCATCGCCGAGTACCAGCTGAGGGTGGTGGCTAGCGACGCGGGCACGCCCACCAAGAGCTCTACCAGCACGCTCACTGTCCGTGGTGAGGGCTGCCTCCTGCCCACTGCCGGGCCCAGGCTGGTGCTGTGGGCTGGGATCCACACCCACTAGGGCTGTGCACTGGATGTAGTGATGCCCTCTCCCACAGGTCAAGATCACCTGACCTCACCATGCTAAAAATGCTAGCCAGGCCTGGTCCCCCTCCTGGCCATCTCTATAGGCCCCAGAGTCCACCAAGGTCCCTGCCCCTCTTAACCCCCAATGCTCACATCTGCAGAAGGCCTGAGTGGGTGTTGAGAGCCCAGAGGCCCCAAGAAGCCAGGAAGGTGTGGAGCCCATCCTCTTAGGCAAGCCAGAGGTCTTCTCTGGGCTGTAAGCCAGACCTCTGCCTGCCCTGTGGGTGTGGCGTCCACAGCACTGTCCTGAAAGAGGGTAGCTGGGAACCCCAGTCCCAGATTCCTCACCCTGTTGTTCCCACCGTGTATGGGTGCTGCAGAGCCAGGGGTATCGTATAATTTATCATCCACTTGAGGCATCTAGTTCTTGGAGACAGAGGATATAGCCACAGGGCCAGGGTTAGCCCTACGGAAGACAGGGCCATGCTCTAGATCTAGCCTGGCCATCCTGGTCTACAGGCACAAACCTTTGCCAGCCCCAGTAGACACCAGAGATGTATGGGTCAGGGAGCCACTGTCCTCTCTCCCAGGCTTACCTGCAGGCATCTGGTACAGTTTGGATAGGACCCACTTCTTTCCCAATGATTGACAGGGAGTAAAGCTAGCCTTTAAGAGGGGACCCCAGATCGCTTCTCTCCAAGGCTCAGCAAAAGATACACCATCAATGAGCTGGTGATGCCACAGCTCACATAGATGGGGTCACTTCACTGTGGAGGTCACAGGTCACCCCAAGCCTCATCTGCTCAAGAAAGACAGATTTTAGCCTGCATAGTTGGAAAATATGTGTGTGTGTTCTGGTCCTGAGCTTTTGCAATCAAGGCTAGAGCTCTACCACTTGAGCTACAGCTCCACTTCTGGCTTTTTTGGTAGTTAATTATAGATAAGAATATCATGGGGCCTTTCTACGCCCCAAGCTTCACACTGTGATCCTCAGATCTTGGACTTCCTGAGTAGCTAGGATTATAGACATGAGCCACCAGCACCCAGCAGAAAAACATACCTTCCATAGGAATTAAACCTTGGGGTTTTGAGGAAAGCCAGTCCCTTCTTTGGGACCCCCTTTACAAACTGGGGAGACCATAGCCCTTCCACTCGTTGCTGTGTGACTTTGGGCAAGTTGCTCACCCACTTCTGGGCTATCTATCTATCTATCTATCTATCTATCTATCATCTATCTATCTTAGCGTGTCAGATGACAACCACCTCATAAGGAGGGATGCATATCCTAGATGGGATGTACTTAGTGTGAGCTCAGATGTGGTCTCCAGCACTGTCATTATTATAATCATCATTGCCATTGTTAGGCATACAGGGAAGGGGAGCTCTGGAATTTTCTCTCCTCCCTTTGATAGCATGAGCATGGACTGTGGGAGGTCCTGGACCTCTGGTCAGACTCACCCTGGCCCCACCAGGCATAGGGAACCCTGGACTCATGGAGGAGGTGTTGGCACAGATGCCACTTGGGATCAGTGACATATACCCCCACACTTGGATATCCCTTTTCTTGGCGGTCCTGGATATCTAAAGCAGGGGTCAGGCCTAGCCCGGGTACCCTTCTGCCCACAGTGCTGGACGTGAACGATGAGACACCCACCTTCTTCCCAGCCGTGTACAATGTATCTGTTCCTGAGGATGTGCCACGCGAGTTCCGGGTGGTCTGGCTGAACTGTACAGACAATGACGTGGGACTCAATGCTGAGCTCAGCTACTTCATCACAGGTGCAGCCTGGGCCCATCCACCCCTCCCAGAGGGGGGTGAAGCATGGGAAAGAGCAGCAGATATCCCCCTCCACCAAAGCATTTGCTCCTGCACTTCCCCAGGGCCATGTGGCTGGATCAAGTGGTCCTCTGTACCCCTACGGAGACCAGTTTTCAGTCACGTTGTGCAAGGAACTCAGCAAGCCCTGGTCCCAAACCTAATGTGGTGGTGCCCTCTGCTGATAGAACAATGCACTGCTGCCAACTCTCAGGAGAGGGGTCTCCCACAGGAGTCCCAGGGAGGCCCCTTGTTGGCTCTACCCCAGGAGGATAGACATACCTGTTCCTATCTCCACTCTGAGTGCCTGCATGAATCCCCACTTACAGAACTGTGGTCCTCAGCCCAATCCCCATCCCAAGATGAGAGGTCTGGGGGATGCACAGTTCACCCCAAAGTCCTCAGCCTCATAGAAAAGTCCTAACCCCTTCCTCAGCCACTTTTTCAGGACAGGTAGGAGAAAACAGACCCAGGCTCAGGTGGGCAGGGAGAAACTAGAGCAGCACTTGGAAGCTCACAAAAGTTGTGTTTTGTTTTGTTTTGCTCTTTCTCTCTGTGTGGGGCAAACGAGTTGGTCCTCATGGAGGAGCATCTGGTATACAGTATGTGCTCCGTAAATGTTGGACACATCAGCCAAGGCAGACTGGACCCTCATCAGAGCCCCTCAGCTCATGCTGGGTGGAGCATAGCTCCTGGACCTGTTTCTCCATCTGTAAAAGGGGTTTGTCGTGTGCCCTCACAGGGCATCTCCTGACTGAGGAGCAGAGTTGGATGCACCTCTCTTCACCCCCAGCCCAGAGCTCTGCTGCCTGGCCACAGCTCCCTTCTGTCTTGCCTGCAGGGGGGAACGTGGACGGGAAGTTCAGCGTGGGCTACCGTGATGCGGTGGTAAGGACGGTGGTGGGCCTGGACCGAGAGACCACGGCTGCATATTCGCTTATCCTGGAAGCCATAGGTGCGTGCCAGTGCCTTGTGCTCTGCCAGCCTAGTTGTTCCCTTTAGAGTTTGTATAGGGGCAAAAGGGGACTTCCAGGAGCTCAGCTAGAATCCAGAGGTTGACCTTTGCCCAGAAGCCGGTGGAGGAAAGGTCACGGATGTCCACCAGGTGTTCTTGAGCACAAACGGGGGGGGGGGGGGGGGGGATGAGGCTTGTGCTATATGTTGTATATGAGTGAGATGCTGGGATGGAAAGTTGAGACAGGCAAGTGGAATAATCACTGTACATTGGGGTAAACAAGCAGGATGGGAGAGAGGAGGAATGGCAGAAGAGCATCAGGCACAAAGGATGGCAGAAATGTGGAAGAGGAGAGTTAAGGAAGGTTTCCTAGAGAAAGTGTCATAAGGACGCCTTTGAATCAGGACTCTCTGGGTTGCAAATTTGAAAATAAAATGACCTCAGCAATAAAGCTCATAGATCCAGTCTACCTGCTGTAGGTTTATGTGGAGTCAACATCAGGGCTTGCCGTCAGGCCTCATGGCTCTACTCTGGCCGGCTCTGCCTGTGTGCTGGCTCCCTGCTCTGCCCTCCATGGAGCCCCCACGCATCTCCACCTTTCTTTTTTTGTGGGTTGTGGGACTTTAACTCTGGGCCTAGGCGCTGTCCATGAGCTCTTCAGCCCTAAGGCTCTACCACTTGAGGCACAGCGCCACTTCTGGTTTTAATTGGGGATGAGTCTCATGGACTTTCCTGCCCTGGCTGGCTTTGAACCACAGTCCTCAGATCTCAGCCTCACCAGCACCTGGCTTTGTCTCCCTTCTCTTACTCTTTCTCTCTTTGGGACAAGCTCTCATTATGTTATATTGGTCTCAAGCTGAGCTCCCATGATATTCCTGCCTCAACCTCCTGAGAAGACAAGACTACAGACATGTACCATCTCACCTGGCATGTCTTCCCTTCTAAGTCAGTTATCATTGGGTGTATGGTCCATTTGGATAAATTCAGAATGACTTACTCTCAAGATCTTTAATTATATCTTCAAAGATACAAACACATTTTTTTCTCCAAATTCACAAGCACAGGTTCCCAGGGATCTCCATCCATTCATCCCCCATGCCTGCATGGCTCCATTGGGAACTGTGTTTTTTATAGGGTTAGGGTAAGGATGGCGTGAATTAGAAGACTGTCTGGCATAGGGTGGTATATAAGCATTAGTTCTTGTTAGTGTCACTACAGATCTACAGAGGCTGGAGAGTATGGGCCCATCTCTGGTGCCCCAGAGCATATACAGCCTAGGAAGTCTGCCCCTTGGGCATCAGCTGACACCTGTCCTTCCTTTCCCATAGACAATGGTCCTGTGGGCAAGCGCCATACAGGCACAGCCACTGTGTTTGTCACTGTCCTGGATGTGAACGACAACCGGCCCATCTTTCTGCAGAGCAGCTATGAGGCCAGCGTCCCGGAGGACATCCCCGAGGGCCACAGCATTGTGCAGGCAGGTGGCCCCTGGGACAGGGTGGGCAGGCGCAAGAGAGGGGCAGGCACACTACTGCGACATGGGAAAAGGGGGAACAGGTGTTAGCTGAGGACAGACCTTGTCTTCCCAGAAAACAAGAAAGGCCTTGGCCTCCCTCCCCCAGCCCCTCACCACTCCCAGAAGGCCTTTCAGAGCAAGAAGGAGGGGAGGTCATACTTTCCTGGAAAGGACCTGAAGAGAGAGGGCCAGGGCCCAGGAAGGCCAGAACAGAGCAGCTTTCACAGCCCCTTGGCCAAGGCTCCCCTCTTGGAAGAAAGCTGGAGGAAGAAGAAAGGAGCCACAGCTCAGAGTTCAGAGGGAGAAGGGGAGGAGGAGCCTGAAAATGCAGCTCTCATGCCCCAGGCCTCTGTTGCTAGGTGGGGAGGGAGAACGGAATGAATTGCTCTCTTCACCAAATGCAGGGGCTTTCCACACCATTGCCACCCAAGGCCCAGCCAAACATAGCAAAGCCAGGCTTGCCCACTGGGACTGGCTCCAAGGCCTGGGTGTGGAGGAAGAGCAGGAGGCTAGGAGGGTGCCTGCCTCAGGAGGGGCTGACAACAGGAGATGGAGGCTCCAGGGAGCACAGAGATGCACAAAAATTTGGTTCTAAAAGAGAGTCCTTCCTTCTGGCCTCAGCTTCTGGAGGGGCTTGGAGAGGCCCCCCACAGGATCTGTGGTCTGTAGCCCAGGAGCTGCCATCCCATAGCTCAGCCAACCTGGGGGCACAGAGGCCTTTGAGAGCCCTCTTCACCCCACCTCCAACAATCTCCCCACTCCCACCCCCACCCCCCAGGAAGAGAATGGACTGCTGGCCAGGGGACAATAGTACGAGACCAGCTGACTGCATTCAGCCTGGGATGTAAACCAGGAAGTGAGGAAAAAGCAGGAAGAGAGGGAGAAACAGCCCTTGGGGAGGAGACTTGCCCTCTCTATAACCCCCTGGAAAACTGGCTTCTATTCATATAGTGCTACTCAAACTGAAATCCTGGAGTCCCTGAGTAATACAGGGCTTCCCTGCACCCCTCTGCTTCTCAGGGAGAGGTTCAGGATCTCAGGGCGTTCTCCCACACCCTGCGAGGAGCATCCTGAAAAACTGGAGTTCATCTTCCAGCTCAGCAGTGTTCCACCAGGGCCTGCTTAGAAAATAGCCTTCCTTGGTGGGGAGAGAGGGGAAGAACTCTGGGCAATACAGACGCCTAGCAAGCTCCTGATACAAGAGGCCTTGCCAGTTGCCAATGGCTCACATCTATAATCCAGACTGAGATCTAAGGGTCATGGTTGAAAGCCAGCCTGGGACAGGAAAGTCCATGAGATTCTTATTTCCAATTAACCACCAAAGAGCCAGAAGTGGAGCTATGGCTCAAGAAGAGCACCAGGCTTGAACAAAAAAAAATCTAAATGATAGCGCCCAGGCCCTGAGTTCAAGCCTTATTACAAAGAAAAACAAAACAAAAACCAGAGGCCTTGTGCTTCGATGCCCAGATCTAATCAATTAAAGCCAAAGTCAGACAAAGTCTAGCTCTCTATGATCTCCCAGATCCCACTGTGCACTGTAGCTGGGATGGGGAGGGGTGGGGAATAGAAGGGATAGCCAATGGGCATTGGGAACCAGTGAAGTATATAGTGCTGCTGAAGAATTGCACACCAGAGCTTGGACCTTGAGAAAACTTGGCTGGCCGCACTGGGGGTCTCAGCAGGGGCGGCTAGGGCTGCCTCGGGTTGAGGCCTATTCGGCTGACTCTGGGACAGGAGCCAAACAGCTCAGGCCCTCATTCGTCAATCTTCACATGTGAAATCCAGCCAAAGCCTTTAGCCTTGGTCTTGAGTGGAAAGGCCTAGGACTTGGGGTTCTGAGAGCCTGTTCTGCATTTGGTCGGTTGATAGAGCAGGCATCACAAACGGAGCTGCGTGCCGAATGGGGTCCAGGCCTAAGTCCCACAGATGTTCTGGGAGATCTGACTAGTCTCACCTGAGGAGGAGCAACCTCCTTCCTTGGGTGAGGCATGGAACCACAGCGTAGTATCCTCAGAGTCCAGAAGACATCACTTCCAGGTGCTAGCAGTGGCCAGCCTCCTGCTACTCTTGACAGAAGCCTCGGAAGCCTTCTTCAGCCCCTTCCTAATGGAAGGGGGAAGGCCAAGATGGCTGTCAGGATCACAGGGTTCATTGCATATTTGCCCCTCTTTCCTGCTGACACCCAGGCAACTGGTCCAATGAGAGGGTGCTGGCTACTGCTGGATCAGCAGGCAGGAAGTCCAAGGAGAGGGATCCTTAGAGTCTCTCTGCCCTAGACAGAGGACAGGCCCAGGACAGTACCCCACCCCAGTGTGGGTGAGCATACTACTTAGCAGGGAGAGGGATGGGACAGCCTCTGGCCATTTAGCCACTCCTATTAGCTGGACTTTAGGCCTGCAAAGAGGGCAAAGCTTCTGTAGGAGCCCAGCTGCTGCTCCTAGTAATGGTAGGGCCTGGCTTCCAAGTCCTTGCCCTCAGGCCAAGGACTTGGGTGGCTCTGGGTGCTTGTCTCTTGTTCCAGAAGTCTGTTAGCCAGCAGCAAGATTCTGGGCCTCTCCTCTGGCCACCTCTGAGAAAGGACACAGGGTAGGCATGCAGGGAAGCCCTGGAGGGTGGGAGGGGTGGGAATGAGGCCCACAGTGCTGGGACCTCTGTCCTGCTGCAGCCTGCAGTGCTGGACTCCATCCAGGGCCGGTGGGTGGACACCCTGTCACATCTTGGTAGATTCTGTGTAGTCAGTGGCACCTGAGTTCTCCTCCTGGCCTGGCAGAGGACACCGTGGGGCAGTTGGCCAACCATGCCTGAAGCTGTGCAGGGAGCGGCGCAGAGAACCCAGGCGCTTCCAGAGCCTGAGCTGGGGCTCGCTGGGGCTGGCAGGGTGGTGTGGCATGCACTCTCTTGCCTGACGGTGGCCTGGGTCCAGTGCAGCTGGTTTGCAGAGCGTCATGAACAGCAGGCAAGAGGCCAGCAGCAGGAAGATGCAGGCCAGGGCAATGAGCACAGGGACAGGGCCTGCCATCTCCACCTGAGGCCCAGGTGTAGCCGGAGCTGTGAGGAAGGTTGGAGAGCTGGCACCTGTGGGGCTGATGACATGGGGGCCCTCTGTGTTCATGGTACCTGCAACAGGCAGGAGGCAGAGGCTCAGGCAAATCTGCTGGACCAGGGCAGACAGAGACATATCTGGGAAACACTGATGTGAGTGGGTACTGTTAAACTAGATCGCCTGTGACCACTTTTTACACATACTAAACAAAAATCAAAATCAAGAGAATTTCTAGAAATCTCTAAATTTTAACACTGGCCACACTGGGCCGAGTTACTGCCTTGTGCTAGTAACTGTCCCCAGAGTGCCACACTCCCCCTATAGTCTACCACATACCTTATTTTGCCTGTGGGTCAAGTCTAACCTGTTCCCAGGGAAACTTGAGTCCCAAACAGGGGAAAGCCAAGCCCAAGGCTATATTATGAGCTAGTGGCCAAGCAAATATCAGAACCAGATTTCCTGATTCCAGTTTTTAGCTCCATACTTCCCATTCCAAGGACAGATAATAAGCCGGGGGGGGGGGGGGGGGCGGGGGGGGGGGAGGGAGGAAGGGGGAGGAGGAAGTGTAGTTAATGAGGTGGGATGGAAGGGGAAAAACAAGGGAGGAGGCAACAATGCTTGATAAGAAATGTACTCATTACCTTGCTCAAGTAACTGTAACCCCTCTGTATAGTATTTTCACAATAAAAAACTTATTTTTAAAAAAAGAAGCCCATAAGGAATTGGCAGGCAGGGTTGGACATCACTTTCCTGAAGGCATTTCTGTTACCATGAAAGATCATCCCAAGCTGAGCACAAATGGCTCACACTTGTAATCCTAACTACTCTGTAGGCTGAAATCTGAGAGTCACAATTCAAAGCCAGCCTGGAAAGGTGACTCTTATCTCCAGTTAACCAATAAAAAAATCAGAAGTGAAGGTATGGCTCAAGTAGAAGAGCACCAGCCTTGAGCCAAAAAACCAAAAAAACAACAAAAAAAAAACTCATTCCAGTTTACAGAATCTAGCAGCTGGTCCCCAAAGATGGAAAACCAGGGTGAGCTTTTGGTGGAGCAGATGGAGGTGGCAGATGATTGACACCTGGGCTTGGCTGCCAGGTAATGAGCCATCCAAGAAGACAGCTGGGCAGCTCCCTGGGCAGCCTAGGCTGACAGTCCCAGTACTGCCATGCAGGCTCCAGGTGCCGGCTCATCTAGCATCCCAAGGGAATCGAGAAACCTGGGCTCATTTTTTTTTTAAGGCAAACATTCCTGATGTTTAAATATCAACATCCAATTCAGATTTATTTAAGGCAAGAAAGAAAAGGAGGCAAGTCCTGCAAAGACCATACAAACATCATTCTAAAAATTTTGAAATGAATTTTCAAATATTTCAAAACAAAACACATTAAGCCCAGTATTGCGTGTGTGTGCACGCGCGTGCACGCGCGCACACACACTCACACCAGTCTCCATCCAGCACCTGTAATCTTTGAATTTTACAAACTGAGGACAGGAAACTTAAACCTATCCTGATGCCTGGGGCATCAGTGGTAGGACTTATCAGGCATAAGGCCCTGATTCAAATCCCAATATCACAAAAAAGAAAACTTTCTCTCTTTGACTTTAAAGTCTCTCCAAGAGTGAGACTGGTTGGGGACAGGGCTGGGAGGAGCAGTTTCTGCCTACCGGACCTGCAGTGTGCTCTTGCCTTGGTTCAGGAGTCAAGTTTTTACCTCCAAAGCCCATCACAAGAGGCTTAGTTATGCCACTACTGTGCATATAGCTGTGGTGAACCCTGCCAGCAGGTGATGGAGAGTAGGGGTGATCACCAATCCATTACCCCAAGAACCCCTGTCCCACCCTGACACTCACCAGCAGTTGTACGACCTAACTCCCGGCTTCTGTGCCCAGTCAACTGTGAGCATCCAGAGCTTCCCACCACCTGCCATCCCTCCCTTACTACCACCCCTCCCAGCCCTTCCAGACAGAAAATGACGCCTCTCCACTTGTGGCTGGAAACTCTGATGCCCGTCTAGCTGCCCAGGGCCTCCGCCTTCCAGGCCAGAGCACACTCTGGCTGGGCAGCCTACATGTCAGCCCTTCCTGGAGGAGGGATGGGGTGTGGCCCATGGCCAGCTCCCAAGGGAAGAAGAGCAGCCTCCCTCTGGCCTCCTTGGGCAGGGTTTGACCTGAGTAATAAAAGGCTGTCTGAGTTGGGAGACACTGTACCTTACTAGTTCTGATGCTACTTCAGGGCCTGAAAATGGGCTGGAAAAGCCACAGGCTGGCAGAGAGGCTCCTGTCTGCAGGCCTTGAGACTTACTTCAGGAAGAACATTGGTGGGGCTATGATTGCACCTGAGCAGTCCCTGTGGCAGCCTGGAGCTCCAAAGTGCTTGTCAGAACCAGTCACCTTCCCTAGAGCTCAAGGCAAGTCTAGCTGACCTATCCCCCCAACAAGGGCTGCTGGGTCCCAGGAAAGCAGCTCCTTAAGACCAAGCTGGAAATAATCTTGAAAGCAGGGGAAGAATCTTCCTCCCTGTTCTGGATGCATAGCTGCAAGCTCCATCTAGAACATTCTTGTTTCCCTTAGAGTTCCATAGAACAGGGCCTAGGAGAGCAGAGAAGCTTAATGTGTGTCCACAGCCTGGTCACTGCCCCCCACTGGCTGGTTGCCACTCTCTGCAGACCAGAGGGACCACCAAACACAACCTCCTGTCATTCCCAAGCCCCCAGTGGGTCCTCCCCCACACTTTCCTCACTAGACTCACTCTGCAGTCCCCCACACTGACCTCAGGGCCAGACCGGAGCACAGCAGGGAAGTCTCAGTTGTCCAAGGAGGGACAGGGAAGACAAGGCAGCCGGCAACCAAGCTTACCCTGGGCTCTGCAGTGCCCCGTGCCTTCAGCCAGCCAGGCCCACAGAGTGGGCCCCTCCCCTGCTCACTGCTGGACACTGGGAGAGTCAGGGCCTGCCTCGTGGGAGGGGGCAGCTAGGAGGGTAGGGATGGCAACTGGTGGAGAGAAAAGGGGAGCCCTCCACCTTGCTCCAGTCCATCTCCCTGGAAGAGCTCTCCCAGGGAGGTAGTGACTCTCATCTTCCCCCTTGGAAGTTTGAATGGTATGGTCAGGATGGCCAGGGCAGCCAGCAGGTTGCTATTCAATGTCTGCCAGCCCCCAGGTTACCCGGGAGAGGGGCTACACACAGAGAGGCAGTGGGAGGGAACAGGCAGAGTGATGGCCCTGGCGGTCCCCAAGGCCCCTCCCTGGGCCCTGGCCTTCCAGGCTTAGAAGAGTGTTTTTCCTACAAAATCTGAGGACTGAGGGACAGCCAGGCCCATGCTGCTTGCAGGTTGAGTGGCACACACACACACGCACACACACACACACACACACACACACACACACACATACACACACACACACACACACACACACACACACACACTCCCTTCCCCCCTCTTCTGAACCTCCTCTCTTCCCAGAAGCCAAAACTTCCCTGGCAACCCTTCAGGGGTCTCCTAACTCCCAGAAAACAGCATGGGAAGGAGTCATGGCTGTGTCTGAAACCTGTGCCTGGGGCCACCTCGATTAGAGACCCAGTGATTGGATTTGAGCTCTTCCCTCCTGCCCTGCTGCGCGCGCGCGCGCAGGTGCACACCACACACACACACACACACACACACACACACACACACACACACACACACACACACACACACACACACACACACACATGCAGCAGTCCTAGGCCTTGAACTTAGTGCCTATATGTTGTCCCTGAGCTTCTTTTTTTGTTGTTATTGTTGGTCATCGGGCCTGGGCACTGTCCCTCTGCTCTTCAGCTGAAGGCTAGCGCCACAACACCACTTCCAGCTTTTTCTGTTTATGTGGTGCTGAAAAATCGAACCCAGAGGCTCATGCATGCAAGGCAAGCATTCTACCACTGACCCACCTTCCCAGCCCATCCCTGAGCTTCTGTGCTCAAGGATAGTGATCAACTCTACTTCTGGCTTTTGAGTATATGTTGGAGATAAGAGTCTCAGAGATTTACCTGCCCAAACTGGCTTGAAACCATGATCCTGAGATCTCAGCTTCCTGAGTAGGATTACAGATGTGAACCACTGGCACCTGGCTCTTTTTTTAATCTTTTTGAGGAATGAGGTAGGTCAGGTACCACTGGTTTTTAGTCTGGTTTTAGATTGGTTTTTAGTCAGAGTTAAGGGAGAGTTACTCAAAGCTTTAAAACCAAGGACACATACCAAATAAAGGAAGGAATGCTAGGGGTTTATCTTGCTTTTAGTGTGGGTTCATGTAAGAAGCTGGTGTTTTTTTGTTTGGGGGGAGTTTTTGTTTATGTATCTGTGTATGTGAATGTGTGTTTGTGAGAGAGTGTGTGTGTGTGTGTGTGTGTGTTTTGTAAAAGCAGTTTCTAAGAACCTGAACTAGCCAGTGCTTGTGACTTACACCTGTAATCCTAGCTTCTGGAGCTGTTGTTCAAGTGATAGAACTCTAGCCCTGAGCAAAAGAAGCTCAGGGACAATGCCCAGACCCTGAGTTCAAGCCCTAGGGCTGGCACACACCAAAAAAAGAACACAAAACAAAAACAAAAACCATGAAATGAATCCAGTGTGGCACAAGGGCTTAAGGGAAAATAAGAGTGGGCAGGAAGCCTTGGGGAACCCAGCCTCCCTAGTGAGATGCCCATGATCTCCAAAGAATCATGAGTAGGAAATCGCAGAGGTGTGAAATGATCTCTTCCAGTCTGGATCCAGAAAATTAGGGTGCCATCATTCACCTGCTCCCCATTCCATGATCCCCTAAGAACCTGGAGGTAGGGCAGGGGCAGAGTCCTAACCTGCTTACTTCCCAGCCAGCCTCTATAGGAAAGCACAGGTTTGGGCAAGCCAGGGTGAGGGGGGATTGGGAATAATTGGAGCATCTCCCTCTCCCTCAGCTGAAAGCTACCGATGCAGATGAGGGCGAGTTCGGGCGTGTATGGTACCGGATCCTCCATGGTGAGTGGGCTGCCTTAGGATGGGAAGATCCAGGCTTGTTGTCCTTGGGACGGGGGTGGGAGGGGGGACGGGGTAGCATTGCTTCTGTAGCTGCTTGGAGTCTGGGAGATGAGGCTAAGGAAATCTCTTGCACTTGTACACATAAGTTGGGGCCTGGGGGAGGAAAGAGGAATTTTCTAATTTCCCAGGGAGGGTGCTGAATTTGATAGTTTTGTACACAAAGTCTCCCACGTACCACAGTGCTTTCCAAAGCTACCACCCTACTATAAGAAACCTTGGAGTCTGGGGAAGCTCCACAGGGATTTAGGGGGTCACTCTCATGCTCCAGGTAAAATCAGGGTCCCTGTCAGTCACTGTGGCCACTGTGGGCTAATCTGCCCACTTCTGGAACCCAGGATAAAGGCACTGTATATAAACTACAATGGTTGAGCTTGGAGGAGAGTGGGCCCCCAAGGAAAATCAGGAGCAGCACACCAGCCCAGCTCAGAGATGCCCACTGAAGCCTGGATTTGACCACAGAGCCTTGGGCTTATTAGAGTACCCTATATTCTTCTGAAAAGTTTAGAAGGCCTCACACCACCTATACCTGTGGCTGCATGAGTCAAGGAACCAACCTCTACCCCCACCTGGCATCCTATAAGGAGGAGGCTGGTACACTTCTGCCCCCAACATCTAGACCTGCCAGGTGAGGACATCATGACACAGTGGCCCTCTTGCCATTGTGGGCTTCACCAGGTTCCCAAGATCTTTGGACAAGATTAATGTTCCAGGGAGGTCTAAATGCTTTCTTCCTTACCAGCATTTGGCCCCAGACTAAGCCTCGTGCATCCCACCATACAGGTAACCATGGCAACAACTTCCGGATCCACGTCAGTAATGGGCTCCTGATGCGAGGTCCCCGGCCCCTGGACCGAGAGCGGAACTCATCCCATGTGCTGATGGTGGAGGCCTACAACCATGACCTGGGCCCCATGAGGAGCTCAGTGAGGGTAAGACCAGAGGCAGGCTGGGCTGAGGCCAAAACTGGACCAGAAGTGGCCAACTGTTGGGGTCTGGAGGGTGGGAGGCAGAGCTATTACTGGTTTTGATGCTGACTTACACCTAGGGGTAGGGCTGGTGGGAGCATAAGGGCCCAACCCAGCTGGGATCTCCCAAAATGAGACCTGCCATTTGGCTGTGAGCCTGTTTCTCCATAGATGACCTTGGCAGTATAGATGCCAACTTTGCTTTACATATGGTGAAACAGGCTCAGAGAAGTCTCTAGTAATAGAATCAGGACTTTAGCCCATGTCTTTTGGGTCCAGGCTCAATGCTTTTTGCCTCTAAAATTATTTCTGAAATACTTGCATTCCCCAAATCCTCATGAACTGTGTTGGGTTTTGTTGGTTTGGTTTGGTTTGGTTTTAGTGGCACTAGGATTTGAACTGAGAACTTTACACTTGCTAGATTGTCACTCTGTTACTGAGCCATGCCTTAAACCCTGGTTATTCCTGGTTATTTTTTATTTATATTTTTAATTTTTATTACAAAGATGACACACAGAGGAGTTACAGTTATATAAGTAAAGAGTACATTTCTTTTTGGGCAATGGCACCCCTTTCCTCACTCCCAGTTTTTCCCTCTGTCCTCAACTACAAATTGTACAGTTCCTTTTTAACATAGTGTCTATTGAGTTCATTTTTTTGTTGTTGTTTTTTTTGGGTCCGGTCATGGGGCCTGAACTCTGGGCCTGGGTACTATCCCTCAGCTCTTCAGCTCAAGGCTAGCGCTCTACCACCTGAGCCACAGCGCCACTTCCGGCTTTTTTTCTTTTTGCTTATGTGGTGCTGAGGAATCGAACCCAGGGCCTCAGGCATGCAAGGCAAGCGCTCTACCACTGAGACACCTTCCCAGCCCTATTGAGTTCATTCTGTGCCCCCTTGCTCTTCCAAAGACAGATAAATGAAAAGCAAGACAAAAAGAAAACAAAAACATCAACAAAGAAAAAAACCTCGTTCCATTTCCTGGAGTTCACTTTGATAAATATTCTTTCATATGATCAGATGCACATGGGCATTGCACCTTTGTGTTTCTCTCCTAAGAGTATCCTCCCTTGGTCTCACTGTGTGTGAATGCCTAGAGTCCTGTATAATTAATTTATTATGCCCCAATATATTTTAATTGCATTTTAATTTAAGTAGTTGTACAAAGGAGTTACCATTCAACAAAGCCTTTTAAGACTATAATGCATCTTTTGTGGGGGGTGGAGAATGTTGGTTGTGGGGCTTGAATTCAGTGTCTAGGCACTGTCCCTGAACTTTTTCACTCAAGTAATGCTCTACCATTTTGAGCCACCGTGCCACTTCCAGTTTTCTGGTAGTTAATTGGAGATAAGGGTCTCATGGTCATTTTCTGCCCAGTCTGGCTTCAAACCATGATCCCCAGATCTCAGGCTCCTGAGTAGCTAGGATTATAGGTGTGAGCCACTGGCACCCGATACATCTTGATCAATGTCACCCCTTTCGACATTCTCCCCCATCCCTCCCAGCTCTGCCCCCTCCTCAACTTTGAATTTTGTAAGATACTCACTGAACTTTATGACTGCATTCTCCCTCCCCCTCCTCTCTTCATTCATCTTCCCTGGTTATTTTGGCAGTGAAATGTGGAGGACTGTCCTTCCCAGGATGGCCTCAAACTCAGATCCTCTGGCTCTCAGCCTCCTGAGTGACTAGGATTGCAGGCGTGAGCTACAGGTGCTTATATTTTAAGTTTCAATTAATGCATAATAATTATGCATATCTATGGGATACCATGTGACACTTTAATCTACATACCCAAAGTACGATTAGAACTTTTTCCCTCCCTCACCATGCACCTAAAACTACCTTGGCCTCCCTGAGTGGCCACATGTACACTGAACCCTTGTTAGGGTGATATAGGCACATTCCTGCCAGCACCAGGCAGACAGAGGACTGAGAAGAAAGCTGGGGACATGGATCAAGTGATAGAGCATCCACTAAGGAAGTACAGAGTTCAAAGCCCAGTACCACCCCCCCCCCAAAAAAAAAGACCCTGAAAGCTACTCTTCCCCACCCCCACGCCCTTTCCCCTAAAGCAATGGGAAGTGAGTCAGACCTCAGACATCACTGTCACTCACAAGTGGGAGAGGATGGAGAAAGGGGCGGAGAGCTATCAGGGACTTTTACTCAGAGCTGAGTGGAGCAGAATCAGCTGCTCTTATCAACCCATCTCCAGAGCTGTTTTCGCAGGCTGGAAACAATGAGCAGAAACCACCTGGCCAGCTTGTCACTCATCACTTCTCACTCTAGGGGACAAATGGGGTGGGTGACTCAACCTGAGCCTGCCTGGATCCTTCAAATGTCCAACCACTTTGCCTGGGGGAAGGGAAACATGAAATGTCAGCTCTGACACTCTGTAACCCCTGTCCAGATGGACATGGCAGAGGGGTCCCTTAAACAGGGCCTGGTGAGATAGAGTATGTCCCGGCGGTCCCTTTCCACCACTCTCTGTGTGACTCAATCTCTTACACACCTGTTGACCAGCCTACCCATAGTACAGCCTGTCTTTGCTGGCCCCTTTCAGACCACAAGCACTAACATCAGTGAAGCCCCAGCCTTGGACTTAGTGACCTCAGCACTCCTCATGGCCCTCTGGGAAGTCCTGGGTCTTCTGTCTGTGCCTTGGTATTGGAAATCCAATTTTAAACCAAATGTCATCGTGTGAAGCAGATCAAAGGCATGCCATGCTGCTGATGGGTACAGGAGTGAGGCACACTATGCAGCACCCCACTTGCATGCTCACTGTCACACAGTGCTTCCTCAACTTGAACTCCACACACTTAACTGCCCTAGGAGATGGGCCCCGTATAACACCCATTTTGCAGATGAGGAAACTGAGGCAAAAAGAAATTAACACAACTTATTTAGGATCCCCCAGCAGAAGGGAAGAGTCAGGCTTCCTCCTGGCAATCAGCCAGCTTTCTCTCCCTCTCCTCCCTCCCCCCCTTCTCCTCTCCTTCCTACCTTCTCTCTCCTCTTCCTCTCTCTCACCCTTTCTCCCCCTTTTCTCCCTTCCCCCCTTCCCTTCTCTCTCCTTTTCTCCTTCCCTCCTTCTCTCCCTCCCCATCAGATATAAGGCCTGAACTCAGGGCCTACAGCTTTTTCACTCAAGGCTGGTGCTCTACCACTTGATCCATAGCCCATTTTCAGCTTTTGGCTGGTTAATTAGAGATAAGAATTTCACAGTTTTCTGCCTGAGGCCAGCTTTGAAGTGCAATCCTCAGATCTGTTCTCTTAATGGCTATACTGTGCTAACCACAGCACCACCCTGCCACAAGAGCATTTCAGAGCAGCCAGAAGCCACTGCCTGGTCCCCAGGAAGTAACCTAAGGATAGGAATTTGGGACTGCCCCCTAGGATGGGGGGCTTTGGTAACCCCTTCTGGTCCTATGAGACACAGGAAAATGTGGAGAGACACAGGGAACCTTCCTGGTGACAGCACAGGGCTGCAGCTTTGCCCTGGGTCAGTTTCCTGGCTGTGTCTGAGTTGCTGCAGGGACCATGAATGTGCCCCAGATCCTACTTTGAGGACTAGGGACTGCCCTAGTAATGGCCAGGAAGCATGGAGGGTGGCAATACAGACTTATCTCCTATTGTCCTGTCCCCATTGGAGAGCACAGCCCTACAGAGAAAGCAGGATGGTTCTGTGAGAGGGCTGATGGCTCTTTCTGGTGCTGTCAGAACTCGGCCAGCCTGTTTCCTGCACAGCTGCGTCTCTCAGGTTTGTAAACCACACACCACCTTGCCTCCTGTTGCTGCTGCTCCACATGAGGCTGAAACCATCAACAGCAGGGCATATGTGGCCAGGCTCCCCACCACCTCCCTTCTCTTCCTCTTGCCCTGCTCCTTCCCCATAACCCGTTGGTTATATAATTGTTAGGACTCCAGAAAGGGAAGGCTCACAGTTCTGAAAAGATGGATAGTTGGTTTCTGTTTACAGAAAGAGAGTTCCCAAAATTGATCCATGCAAATTTCCCCATACCCGCCCCACCCAGGATCTCTCTAGCCAAGTTCTAAGTGAAGCCAAATCTAAAAGACTCCAGCCTGCAAACAGCTGTGCTGGGGACTGAGCACTTTAGTTTGCATAAGTGTTTTCTCAGTATTTGGATGTGAAAACTCAGCTAACCCAAAGTCATGGGATCAGCAAAGTGGAGCGCTCCCCCTGTGTCTTGTGTGTTCTCTCCTCCCTAAATCCTGCACCTACCCCTCCCCAGACTCCAACTAGTCAGGTTGACCTGTTCTGCTTACAATAACCAGAAAAGCAAACTTCCAGGTAAGGCCAGAGTCAATCCCAGAGGAGCAATCCATCAGGAGCCAAATGTATGGGCTGCTTTGAGGCCCTGCTATCCTGCTGCCAATCATACATCATAGCTTCACAGAGTCTCTTTCTTCTCTCCTCTTTCTTCTCTCTCCTCTTTCCTTTCTGTGTGTGTGTGTGTGTGTGTGTGTGTGTGCGTGCACACGCCAGGACTGGGGCTTGAACTCAGGGCATGCGCTCTGTCTCTGAGCTTTTATGCCCAAGGCTAGAGTTCTACTGCTTGAGCCACAGCTCCATATTCAGTTTTTTGGTAGTTCATTAGAGATAAGAGACTCACAGACTCTCCTGCCTGGGCTGGTTTTGAATCATGGTCCTAAGATCTCAGCCTCCTGAGTAGCTAGGATTACAGGTGTGAGCTAACAGTACCCAGCACACAGACTCTTTTTGCCCATCTCCCCATACCACTCCTGCTTCCCTGGCTCTAGTGAGGCTGAGGTCTCCCCTTACTGGAACTAGCTCACCCCAGAACAGAGGAATGAACTGAAGAGCTTGTGGATTGAAAACCTGGAGATTCCTGTCCTCTTCTAGCCTTCTTTTTACTGTGAGACTTCAGGCAAGCCACTCCCCTCCTTGGGCCTATCTCCCCCATTTCTGAAAGGGGTGAGAGACCCTTGTCTCCCTCCAGCTTCTGAGGCACCTCTTTATACTCCCCTTTCTTCCTTGCTGGTGCCTCAGGGATGGGGAGGGATAGCAGAGAGAAGCATGGGGCTGCCATGATCTCTACTATAAACACCGCTGCCCATAACATCCTCTAAACGGTTATTTTTCCACACACGTCATAGTCATTCATTAAAGAGAACTTAGCACATACAGATGAGCCATGAGGGGAATTAGACCTCATTCCATAATTCAGAAATGACCACTGTCTTGTGCAGACTCCCCAGAAGCAACTCTGAGATGAAGTCTTGAGTAAGAAACTTCTCCCTGGGGAAAGTGGGAGGGGCTAGGGCACCAGGAAGGAAGCAGCCAATGAAGTGGACTGTCCAGGGCAGACTGAACTCAGGGGACTTGTCTCAACCTCTAGGTGGACAGAGGAGTGACCATCCCAATGGGATGGCATGCCAACAAGGGGTCCATTGAGAATCACATCACTGCCCCACACAGGGCCCGGGAAACCAGGGGTTAGTACTTAGGTAGCAAGTCCTCAGCCATTCTGTCCTTTGGGCATTTGTTCCCAGCCATCCATTTACCCCATGTAGGGCTGATCCTCTGCCCTCTATCCTCTGCAATGTTGGCTACTAGCCAGCAGAAGGTGCTGGAAAAATCACAAATGGATTGCTGGCATCCTCCGCCCCAACCACCTACATGCATTTAGATACTTGAATGGACTCCATGTCCAGCATGTTTGGTGGCCTTGGCTAATTCTGTCTTGCTCACACCTTAGAAGCAGCATGGAGACTACAATGTAATGATGCTCTTACCCTTTTCTTGTGGAGAAAGTTGATGGTCCCAAAGTCATGCCTGCCATCCTAGCTGCTCAGGAGGTTGAGATCTGAGGATCACAGTTCAAAACCAGACTGACAGGGAAATCCATAAGACTCTGATTTCCAATTAGCCAACAAAAGGGCAGGAATGGAGATATGGCTCAAGTGGTAGAATGTCAGCCTTGAGCAAATAAAACTAAGGGACAGTGCCCAGGCCTAAATTCAAGTGCTCAGGCCTAAATTCAAGTGCCCGGGCCTAAATTCAAGCCCCAATACCAGCATACATGCGCACAAAAAAGTTACTAGTTACAGCTAGGTGCCTCAGACCGAGTAGCTCACACCAGGAGGCTGAGATCTCAGGATCACAGTTGAAAACCAGCCCAGTCAGGGAAAGTCTGTAAGTCTGTGAGTTTATCTCCAATAAAGTACCAAAAAGCCGGAAGTGGAGCTGTGGCTCAAGTAGTAGAAAGCTAGCCTTGAGGAAAAAGAAGCTCAGGGACAGAGCCTAGGCCCTGAGTTTAAGCACCAGGACAAGCACAAAAGAAAAAAGTCACTAGTTACTCACAGGTCCACCCCCAGGGTTAGAAGGAGAGCTAAGGGTAGGATGAAGACTGAGTATCAGCCACATTCTAGGTGGTCTTGGGACAAGGAGGTGAACACAGTGGCTAGGCTTGATGGATGGTGCTCCCACTCTGGGTATCACAGACTCCCAGTCTCCACCCCACCCTAACATTGCACCCCTGGCCTGGCCCTACAGGTGATCGTGTATGTGGATGATGTGAACGATGAGGCCCCCATGTTCACACAGCAACAGTATAGCCGCCTGGGGCTTCGAGAGACTGCAGGCATCGGCACGTCTGTCATCGTTGTTCGAGCCACAGACCGGGACACTGGTGAGGCAAGCAGGGGAGGCACAGAAGTCCTACTGCTCAGAGTGACCCTCCTGGCTTAGCTGGTCCTGTCACCCTCAGACTCCCCACAACTGAGCCTGCTCCCAGTCCAGGAGGTGCTCCTTTGATGGTTGTAGTCACTCCCCACAGGTGCTGAGGCCTGAGTAGACTGAAGCCAGGGGATTTGTCTCAGCTTCTGGGTAGACAGAGGAGAGGCCACAAATTTGCAAAGTCCAGATTGGCCATGCTGGGTCCTGGAAGCTCCCCATTAGCTTTTGGTCAAGGCTTTGCATAGGACTAGGAAAAATAAAGGGGCCTTAGAAAACTGGCTGGGTGGGGCCTGTTCTTCTAGCTCAGAGCCTGGTACTCAGGCTTTGCCAGATCCATTTCTTCCTCTGGTCTGCATGCATGGCTTTGGTCTGCCCTGAAGGCAGGCCCAACCTCCCAGGAAACAGGGACCATGTCCTCAGCACTCTGAGGAACCAAGCAGAAATTTGGCCACCTCTAAGGATGTCTTCACAATTTCTAGATCAAAACCCCTCCTACAAGAGACTGCCTAAACAGCCAAGGCAGGGTCTTCAATTTGAATTCTGGGGTTCCTCTACCACATCTCTTGGGGCCAGCATGTGTTGGGTGGGCCAGCCAAGGCCTTCACCTTGCATCTCAGGGAACAGCCCCTGGCATGGACAATTTCAGAAGCCACCAAGGAGCCCCACCCCTGTCTGCAACTGCATGGCCTGTATCCTTTGCAGGGGACGGTGGCCTGGTGAACTACCGTATCCTGTCCGGTGCAGAGGGGAAGTTTGAGATTGATGAGAGCACAGGGCTTATCATCACTGTGGACTACCTGGACTATGAGACCAAGACTAGCTACCTGATGAATGTATCCGCCACTGACCAGGCGCCCCCCTACAACCAAGGCTTCTGCAGTGTCTACGTTACCCTACTCAACGAGCTGGATGAGGCCGTGCAGTTCTCCAACGCCTCCTATGAGGTGACCATCATGGAGAATCTGGCACTGGGCACAGAGATCGTGCGGGTCCAGGCCTACTCTATTGACAACCTCAACCAGATCACCTACCACTTTGACGCCTACACCAGCACCCAGGCTAAAGCCCTCTTCAAGATAGACACCAACACGGTGAGGAGCTGGGGCAGGCCAGGAGGGTTCTTCCAATGTGACCATTTACTGAGCTCCTTCAGTATACACATCACTGGTCTTAAAATGTCCTTGAGCCGGGCGCTGGTAGCTCATGCCTGTAATCCTAGCTACTCAGGAGGTTGAGATGTGAGGATCACAGTTCAAAGCCAGCCTGGGCAGGAAAGTTTGTAAAACTCTTTTTTTCTCTTTCTTTCTTTCTTTCTTTCTTTCTTTCTTTCTTTCTTTCTTTCTTTCTTTCTTTCTTTCTTTCTTTCTTTCTTTCTTTCTTCCTTTCTTCCTTTCTTCCTTTCTTTCTTTTTCTTTCTTTCTTTTTTCAGTCGTAGTGCCTGAACTCTGGGCTTGGGTGCTGTCCTTCAGCTCTTCAGCTGTAGACTAGCGTTCTACCACTTGAGCCTCAGCCCCACTTCCAACTTTTTCTGCTGATGTGGTACTGAGAAATCGAACCCAGGGCCTCATGAATGCAAGGCAAGCACTCTATCACTGAGCCACCTTCCCAGCTTGTGAGACTTTTATCTCCAATAAACCACTAGAAAACTGGAAGTGGTGCTGTGGCTCAAGTGGTAGAGGTTGGCCTTGAGCTGAAGAGTTGAGGGAAAGCGCCCAAACCTAGAGTGCAAGCCCCATGACCAACCAAAAAAAAAAAAAATGTCCTTGAGATAAACATCTCTGTAGTTCTTTTCTTCTTTGTTTTGATTTTGATTTTTGGGTTGGGTACCAATACAAGGGCTTGAACTTGGGGTCTAAGCACTATCCCTTAGCATGTTTGTTCATGACTAGAACGCTACTACTTGAGCCATGGCTCCATTTCCAGTGTTTTAATGGTTAATTGGAAATGAGTCTGGATGGGCTGGTTTCAAACCATGATCCTCAAATCTCAGCTTCCTGGGTACCTGGCTTTTTTTTTTTTTTTTTTAACAGTATTAGGGTTTGAACTCAGGGCTTTTGCTTGTTCGGCAGGCATTACTACTCTTTGCTTGAGTTATTTGCTTGACTTATGTTTCAGATAGGGCCTCACACTTTTGCCCAGACTGGCTAATTTTGCCCAGGCCTCTTATCTCCATTTCCCATGTAGCTGCAGATTACAGATGTGAGCCACCTTGCTTGCATCATACTTAAAACTCAATGTCCAGCCCTGTCCCCTTCCCATGTTCTCATATGAACCAAGAAATTCCAAGTATTCAGAACTCTGTCTGAGTGCCTAAAACCAACTCCTACAATAAGGAGAGTCTCTGACATTTCTGTTGCTTAGTAAACTACAAGGGTTTTAGGAGCTTGATCGGGCCAGGGAAAATATCATACATATATTTCATAGGATATCACAGAAAGCTATGCAAGCCATCATGTCTCCCTTTTGACCTTGGCTGTTCAGAAGCCCAGATATAAATTTTATCCTTTATTACAAGTGAATTCTTAGCTAGGTGTTTGGTACAGTTAACCTCCCATCTACTGTCTGCCTCCTACAACCCCATCTGTACAACCTCATCCTTGCTTTAGTGTATCTTTTTTATCAGAATCCCTTCTTTGAAAATAAGCAAGGTTAGAATCATTCCAATTACCAGATGACTAAGCCTCTTTCCAAACCTCAAAGAGTTTCCAGGCTAGGGGTAGATGTGAGAATAATGAATGAGGCAGATACCAGCTGCCCATGGAGCTGAGAAAAGAACTCTGATAGAGGTGGAGGGGCACACAGCTGGGGCCCACAGAGGGTGCCAGCCCACTTGGCTGGGGAGCAGGGATCCAGTGTGGGACAGGCTCCATGGGAAGTCAGGCAATGGCTGGCCTCCCTCAAGGGACACTTAGGCCAGGCAGGGGAGGGGCCTGCAGGTGGGAGGTGACACAGCCTGGCCTGGCTGGAGCCCAAGACTCTTGGAGGTGGGCAGAGTAGGCTCTGGCTGGTGGCTATGAAGTTATCACTTGCCCTTCCTCTAGGGTGTGATTACAGTCAAGGGCCTGGTGGACCGGGAGAAAGGTGATTTCTACACTCTGACAGTTGTGGCCGATGACGGGGGCCCCAAGGCGGACTCCACTGTGGTGAGTGTCAGAGTCCCCCATGGCAGCAGCCTTTCCCAACCCCAGCCTTTCCCAGTCCCCCAACACACAGGTTGGGCAAAGCCCCAGTCTACTCTATAAGACCACACAGAGGCCAGTGGGCACCTGGGCCAGGGCTGAGACTGCAGACAGATGGGGAGGGGCCATCAGGGCTGAGACTACAGATAAGTGGAAGGGGCATCAGGGCTGAGACTGCCGACAGGTTGGCGGGGGGGGGGGGGGTTATCGGGACTCACAGACCTGGAAAGAGTGGGGGCTGGAAGCACCCTGCCACTAACCATCTGCATCTGCCTTTCTCTCCTGCCTCCTGCCTCCTCCCGCCCACACTGACTACAGAAGGTAAGTAGCATGGGGACTGGCTCTTCATTTCTAGCACTCTCCAAGGCCCCAGACCTCCCTGCCTCCCCTGGAGAGAGAATGTGGATGGACCTGTAGCTGCCTCTCACTCAGATCCTTCATGGCCTCCTGTTCTTTTACTCAGAAGCTAGGTGCCCTCTTCCAAGATCTGCCCTCCCATGTTCTCCCAGACCCTATGTGGTCCTGGGATGAGGGTGCACTAAGAAAGGAGTAGTTGGGACACGCTTAGGGACTGTGAGGCCTTGTCCCAGCCCTGCTCCTAATTGGCTGTGTGGCCCAGACAAGCAGCTTAACCTCTCTGCTTCCTTTCTGTGGTCTAAGTGAGTTCTCAGCAAAAACCCTGCCTTCCAAAAAGTGGGTATAAGATATATTTTATATCTCGAGGAAGAAGCCCTTCATCGTTTGGTCCAGAGGAGGTGTTGTGTCCCACTCAAAGCTTCTGTAAAGGAGACTCCCTTGCCCCATTAGGGAGACTGGTGTGGTACTAAGGAGAATTTGAAGTGAGGTGCACAGGGCCAGGCCTGGGAGCACCAGCACAGCAGTAGTGGGTACAGGAGAGAAACTACCCTAGACTTGTGTGAGGTGGGGTTAGGCATGTGCTGGGGTGTGGGGAGGGCAGCCACTGAGGTCAGAAGGGACAAACAGGCTTTAGGTTGGATGGAGTAGGCCAGCAGGAAGCTCAGACTTGCAGGTTGAGGTGGGTGTGGCCCTGGAGGCCCCCTGAGAGGCCCCTGGGTGGCAGGGGGCTGACCCCTTCAGAGGTCTCGGGGTGCCCAGCACCTCATTAGCCTTGGTGACAATCGCACTGTCACCCCACTGAGTCACTTTCCTGTGTCTTGAGGGACAGTGCCCACCCACTGTCCTAGCTAAAAGCTACAGGGAGTGAGGAACCTTTGGTCCCCAAGGTGCCTAGCTGCAGCCACCCTGGCAGGGTCTCAGAGGGCAACCAGTGATTGGGGTCCTCGGGGTGGCAGTGGGTGGGTACCATGTGTCCTCTAGCTCCCCAGGAGAGGGTCTGAGGTGTGCTGAGGGAAAGTAGGGCCTTTTGAATTGCACCTTCACCCACATGGGAGGACGTGCTATACCCCAGCTCATGGTGGCCACAATAAGTCAGGGAATTCAGACTGGAGTGACCCAGTACCTCCGCCCAGGGGTGGCGCTGACCTAAGCCCATCCCCTGGCAGATGAGGGCTTTGGGCACACCCTCTGTTGCATCATCCTCCTGTCATGGCCCCCACTGTGGGAAGCAGGGCCTACCCCCTACTTGCCCCCACATCCCTTCTGCTGGCTTCCTCAAGAGCACCCCACTGCTGCCCTCGATGCTCACTGTGCTACCCCCTGCTCAGGCAACGGCGAGGGGATACAGGAGGGGCCCTTTAAAGATGGCACCATATCCTCCCCAGGCCAGAAGCCAAACCACAGCTCACCTCCACCTGACTCCTCCCCACCCCCATCCCCAGGAGGAACCCACAGGAAGGGGGCGGGGCTCTGCCATAGGAGCTGCACTCAGCAGCCTGGAGGATGGGCAAGGAGCCTGGGTCCTCCTGTCACCCACTGAGGCTGCCTCCTACCCCACTTCACCACCACCATGATCAGTGTTTGTAAGCATGGCAGAGGTCTCCCTGGGCTTGAAGTTCAGCGAGGAGACCAAACTCAGACAGACACTGTCCTTGTCTTCACAAGCATAAGACAGATTTAGAAAGCCAGTGGATCAGGTCACCATACCAATAAATGTATGCCCCAAAAGACAGAGAAATCCTGGAGGGCTTCCCTGAGGAAATGGCCTCAACTGAGCTCTGAAGAATGTGTAGCCAAGAAGAAATGTCAGGTCAGCCAGAGAGAACAGAGTGTACAAAGCATGACAAATTTGAATTAAACCTTAACTCCAGTGAGGGAAGATAGAGTCCAATTGTTATTCACATTTCCTAAATCATCAGACTGGGACTCAAAGGCTTCAGAGAATAAATTCTCTAGCCAGTGTTTATGATTTTGGACAATTTTGTGGTCTACCAGACAGAAGGGAAAAGGTCTGTTACATTAGATCTACCCCCTTAATGTTTGCTCACTTTTCTCATTTGCTCATTTATCTCTCCCAGCCTCCCAGCTAGCTAGTCTTCTGGGTGCACTTTTCAGCTGAGAAAATAAAGAACCGGAGAGGTTGAGTAACTCTTTCCGAAGTCCCACAGCTAGTAAGTAGGAGAACTGACAGAGCTGTAAAGCCTGGCTCATTTCCTTGTGGGCCTCACCACTAACAAAGACTGAGGCTAGGCTAGAACCAAGAATCAAGACCTGTTCTGGAGGGCAAGGAAGTGTGAAGGGTCTCAGAGGGGTGTCTGCAGATGCAATGCACACAGAGAGCAGGCCTGGGGCTTGAACCCCAGCTCTGTCTGGGGCAGGGCAACAGAAAGAGGCCTGGCTAGGAATCCTAAAACTTAGTTGCCTCCTCACTCTCCCCCAACACTGAACACAGGGGCCATAAATGGTCCTGCCTGCCCTCTGTCACATGTGATCTGGGAACTAGATGCTGCTCCCACACTGGGCCAAACCCACATCCAGCTTTCCACAGGAAACCTGGAATGTATGAGCAAAGAAAAATACGTAGCTGGCAATTTACATGTAGCTGGTTTTTATCTGAGAGAAATTCACCTCCCTTGCCTGCCTGCCACCACTCCACTGGGACCCCGTGCCTCCCATGGGCTCTGCTCCTGGGCCCCTCCCCATTCCCCTTCAATCCAGAGGCTGCTCTAAGGAGCCTGGCCAGCAGATGTGTCCTGACCAGCCCACACGTGATTTCCCCCTCATGTATGTGACTCATCACCTAAGCCCACTTAAAAATCTGGACTCCTGTTCTCCGGAAAGAACAGAAGACTATGCCAGTACCACAACAGCCTCCCCATCTTCAGCCCTGTATGGCCAGGGCCTGGCTTTACAGCTGCCTCAGTCCCCACCACCTCAAGACTCCTCACCATCTGGGAGCCATCCCCTTCTCTCCTAATCCCCACATGGACAACACATGAGCTCAGGGCCCTGGTAGTCCAGGACTGATCGGAGGACTAGTCTCAGCTGCACGCACAGCAGGCTGTTCATGGTTAGGGCAGCGAAAAGAGGTGTAGACATCTGACCATGTCTACCCCACCCTCCAGGTTTATATTACTGTGCTGGATGAGAATGACAACAGCCCCCGCTTCGACTTTACCTCTGACTCCATGGTCAGCGTGCCTGAGGACTGCCCCATAGGCCAGCGAGTGGCCACCGTCAAAGCCCGGGACCCCGATGCTGGCAGCAATGGGCAGGTAGGCACTAAATTGTATAGCCAGAATCTGTTCTACCAGCAGAGGCTCTTTCATGCCTCAGTGACCATCTAAGCCATTTCTATCACCAAGCAGCTCAAGTGCCAGGCCCACACCATTCTCCCAGCCCTCAGGCCACTTTGCTGGCACCTGGGTTCAAGAATCTGCCAAACACACACTGCTTCCACAGGCCTGCTTCCTTTCCCTCCCTCTCTCCCTCCCTCCCTCCCTCCCTCCCTTCCTTCCTTCCTTCCTTCCTTCCTTCCTTCCTTCCTTCCTTCCTTCCTGCCCTCCTTCCCATCCTTCTTCCCTCCCTCCTTCCTCCCTTCTTCTCTTCCTCCCTTCCACCTTTCCCTTCCTCCTTTCCTTTTTCCCTCCCTCCCTTCCTTCCTCTTTTCCTTCCTCCCTCTCTTTACAACACTGGGGATTGAGTTCTACCACTGGAGCTATACACACCCTTCTTTTTGTAGTACTGAGTCTTAAACTCAGGGCCTTCAACTTGCCAAGTAATTGCTCTAACACTTGAGCCACACCTCTAGCTCCTGCTCTTTTGCTGTTTCAAATAGGGTCTCACTTTGTGTGTGTGTGTGTGTACATGCACTCACACCAGTACCTAGGGCCTTAGCTTTTTTTGTTCAAGGCTACCACTTGAGCCACAGCTCCACTTCTGACTTTTTGATGGTTAATTGAACATGAGAGTCACACAGACTTTCCTATCTGGGCTGGCCTCACACCATGATCCTCAGATTACAGCCTTTTTATTTTTATTTTATTTTTTGGGTCCAGTCATGGGGCTTGAACTCTAGGCCTGGGTGCTGTCCCCCAGCTCTTCAGCTCAAGGCTAGCACTCTACCACTTGAGCCACAGCTCCACTTCCAGCTTTTTTTTTCCTGCTTATGTGGTGCTGAGGGATCGAACCCAGGGCCTCATGCATGCAAGGCAAGCGCTCTACCACTGAGCCACCTTCCCAGCTCAGATCGCAGCCGTTTGATTATAGGCATAAGCCACCAGTGCCCAGCTGGGTCTCACATTTTTTTCTGGAACTAGTCTGAGCTGTTATCCTATACATATCTGAGATGACAAACATGGGCCATCACATCCTACTTATTGGTTGAGTTTCTTAACTATTGTCCAGGTGGGCCTCAAATCACAAGTCTCCTGACCTCTACTTCCTGACTAACTGGAATTCCAGGCACACACCTCCTCAGCGGGCCTGCCCTCCCTGCTTTTGAGGGTCCACAATACTTGTGGCTCAGCCCTCTCTTCCCAGGCATCTTTGCTGGACAGAAGCCCATGCGTGTCTGGGGAGGCTAGGCAGTCTTCCTTGGCCTGGCCTGGCACCTCTCCTCACCAATCCTTACCCCTCACCGGCTCTTCTCCAACAGGTGGTCTTCTTCCTGGCTTCAGGCAACATTGCTGGGGCCTTTGAAATCATCACCACCAATGACTCCATCGGTGAAGTGTTTGTGGCCAGGCCTCTGGACCGAGAAGAACTAGACCACTACATCCTCAAGGTAGGAACTGGCCCTGAAGGCTGCAAGTCACTCCTAACTGCCCAGCAGGGCACCAGATCCTGGTGATCAGCTTCCCATCTGTCACCAAGTAATCTGAGGCAGGACTCTCAGACCAAGAGGGCACAGGGGAGATGGACCTGGGAAGAGTCCTCAGTTCTAGGCCCAAGCAGCTGAGGAGTCTGTCCCTGCCATCAGAGCCAGCAGAAGAGAAAGCTTGCTGGAGGTGGTAGATCCCTGACTCTGTCAAAAACACAGCATGACCTGGGACAGGTGTTTTGTTCTCCCACCCCCTTACTGCGCCTCCCCTCCCCCCAGTGCAAAACCAAAAGAGCCCTCACTTGGCCTGTTCTGCTGAGATGCCATTCAAGTACAGGTATAAGGAGCCATGATGGCCTCAAAGTCCACCGAGATGCTGTCTGGCCATGCACTGAGGACTATCGGGGTACCCCAGTGCTATGCCTCTGGGGATCCTGAAGGCTGATGGCTGTCTGGTAGCCATAGGAGTGATATTAAAACCCCCAGGGACCAGCCCAGCCCAGCCCATGGTCAGGACTTGAGCTCACTGTCAGCGACCAGATCACAGTACATGGAGCTGAGGCTTTAGAAGCAAAAGGCCAGCCTTGAGTCTGATCACAGGCCTGTGGTCATGGTCAGGACCTGGCTGATTGCAGAGCACAGGCACTAGTAGAGTAGGGGAAGGGATGACTTGGACACTCTGGAATCCAATTCAAAATGAATCTTGGCAGACTTGAGCAAGAATCATTTGTAGTGTAGGGCAGAAGGGGAAAGCTATAGGGAGAGTCCAGAGTTGGCCAGGTCATTTTGGGGGTTATGAATGCCATAAAATTCCTCCGCCCTCCCAGTCTCTCCCACAAGGGGACAGTTCTTGATTCAGAATCATGGGATCACAGGCTCTGTGACCCTTACCCTTTAGTCCTGACCCAGGCCTCCTCTGCCTCTTCTTTCTCTCAGGTTGTGGCCTCTGACCGTGGCACCCCTCCACGGAAGAAGGACCACATCCTGCAGGTGACCATCCTGGATGTCAATGACAACCCTCCAGTGATTGAGAGCCCCTTTGGATACAATGTCAGCGTGAATGAGGTGAGAGCAGCTTCGGGTGGACTCTGAACAAGAACTGACAACCAAGTGTCTGTGTAAACATCTTCCTGGACCACTGCCCTCTCAGACCTCATATGGGGACTGGCTTTTTCATAATTATGCCCCTTACACCCACTTAGCCTGGGTATCTGTTTGGAGCAGGGAAGGAGAGGAGAGAAGAGGAAAAAGAAGGAAGTGCCAGGCATCAGTGGTTCATGCCTGTAATCATAGCTACTTGGGAGGCTGGGATCTAAGGATCGTGGTTCAGAGCTAGGAAAGTCCATAAGACTCTCACTTCCAAAAGCCAGAAGTGAAACTGTGGCTCGATGGTAAAGTACTAGCCTTGAGCATACTGAGTTCAAGCTCCAAGACCACCACTAACTAAATAAATAAAGTATCCTTGTACCCTACAGGATGCTGAGGTTTACTCAAGGAGAGCTGCCTGTTTTAAAACTGCTTTTTAGCCAGGTGCCTATAACCCTAGCTACCTAGCTACTCAGGAGGCTGAGATCTGAGGATCACAGTTTGAAGCCAGTTCAACAGGAAACTCCAAGAGGCTCTTGTCTCTAATTACCCAGCAAAAAGCCAGAACTAGAGTTGTGCATCAAATGGTAAAGTGCCAGCCTTGAACAAAAAAAGCTAAGAGTTCAAGCCCAAGTACCAGCAAGCACATGTACACACACATACAAACACACATACTTCCATTTTAGCTGGGTATCAGTGGTACATGCAGGTAATCCTAGCTACTCAGAAAGCTTAGAGTTAAAGATTACAGTTCGAAACCAACCCAGGCAAGAAAGCCCATGAGACTCTTATTTTTAATAAACTGTGCATGCGCACATGCGTGCGCACGCACGCGCGCGCGCGCCCACACACACACACACACACACACTCCAAGCCAGAAGTGGAGCTGTGACTCAAGTGAAGGAATGCTAGTCAAAAGCTAAGGGACACCTAGGCCCTAAATTCAAACCCCAGTATTGGTACAAAATAAATGATATGATTTAATTTAACTGCATTTTTCCTCAGTCATAAGTCTGGGCTGATGCAGGAAGATTTCTGCTGGGCACTGCTGGGTATCGTGGGATGTTCATGAAGCAGGTGGCACAGGGTGGGGACCAGTCCCACTATCCAGCCACAGATTGGCTCTTGCACCTCTCCCTTCACTCTACTTCAGTTTGCTCATCTGTAAATGAACTTGACATTACTAGCATGAACAGGGAACAGACTTCCTGCCTGGAATGACTACTTCCTCTTCTCTTCCCAGAACGTGGGCGGGGGCACTGCTGTGGTCCAGGTGAGAGCAACAGACCGTGACATTGGGATCAACAGCATCCTGTCCTATTACATCACTGAGGGCAATGAGGACTTGACCTTCCGCATGGACCGCATCAGCGGCGAGATCGCCACTCGGCCTGCCCCGCCTGACCGTGAGCGCCAGAGCTTCTACCACCTGGTAGTCACTGTGGAGGATGAGGGTACCCCTACGCTGTCGGTGAGCATTGTCTAAGCCCTTTGCCTCCTGTGAGGGCAGCCAGGTGGGTGGGATGGAATCCACCCAGTGGGTGAATCTCAGACAAAACCGTTTGTCACACCATTAGGCCACAACTGAGGGTCTTCTTGAAAGACTGCTGACCCACCTGAATCTCCAGCCACTCTCGGCCTCCGTGCCATCTTCGTGGTATCGATGTTATGGTACCAGTTGAGCCATGCTGTGTGCCATGGGGCCACGCTTTCCTATACTATGATGTCTTATGAAAAAGCAGCTTTTGGCTGTCTGCTTTAATTGGGGTATGGGGACAGTATTGTAATGCACCAGGGTGGAAGGACTGGTGTCTGTGGTTCAGTCTAATGCTTCGGTGAGCAGAGCCACTGCTCATAGCCATATCCCATGGCTAGGGGAGGAGCCACTGGCGCATAGCCAGCAGTGACTGTCTATACTGGGCTGCAGTCAATGGAGTGTCTGTGATTTGAGAGCAGGAAGTTGGAGCATTGCAAGCTGGCTGTGTGCTGAGGAGCTGGTCAGAACTGGTCACAAAGCAGAATATCTAGAGTTGTTGTTTTGAGGGGCACCAAAGTAGCTCATGTCTGTGGAAGTACTTGGTAAACCATAAGGAGGAGGTAGAGGATCATATCAGTGATCTGTTGCCGCAATTACAGTTGAGCTTACCGTGTAATTATACAGTGACACTGGTGCATGCCACATGGCAGGCAACATGGAATGACAATATTTTATTCAGCTCTGATACTTCAGGCTGGGAATTTAGATCAGGTTCAACTGCCAGGTTCTGCTGGCTTATTGAGGCTCTCTTCACCCTGTGCAAGCTGCTTCATGTCGTGGTACCTAGGCTTCGGGGGTTGGCCAGCCATCAGTGGGGGGTGACTAGGGCAACTCTTCCAGCTGTTCACAGAGTATGAGAAGTTTAAGTACCAGAAATGGGAAAGGCCTCCTGAAAACCAGGCTGCAAGCTGGCACAGAGTCCCTTTCACAACATTCTCTTAGTCAAAGCAAGTTAAAGGTCAGTTGAGAATCAAGAAACAGAGAAATAAACTCAAAGTTTGAAGTCATAAACGGCAAAGTGTTGCAGAGTGTCGATGTAGTGAAGGGCAAAGATTTGATCCTTTGGGGCAGTCAGTCTCCCCAAGGTCCTGATTGCCTAGCTTGGTCTCTCTGCTCACAAGTGACTTTAGACATTCCTCTTGGGAATGGCCTTGTAGGGGGAGGGGCCAGAGCAGGACTAGTGTCTCTGGGGAATAGGTAGGAATACTCCCAGCACTCCCCTGCCACACACACACACATACACCGCATTGTGAAGGGCCACACACTCCTAGCTACTCAGGAGGCTGAGATAGGAGGATTGAGGTTCAAAGCCATCTGAGGGAAAGTCCATGATACTCTTCAGTTAACCAGCAAAAGCCAGATGTGGAAATGTGGTTCAAATGGGATTTTTTTTTATCCACATTGTGAAGAGCCCAAGAAGTGAGGCTCGCTTTGGCTCCTTCAGTCCTACTGGAGGCCAATGCCACTGCTGATTCAGCTGTGCACACCAAAGGGCTAAACAGACACATGTAACTTAGTGGGGTCCAGAGCAAAGCAGATATCATTTAATGTGGTGACATGGAAGAACCCAGTTTTGACATAACTCTTCCCCTCACTGGACCTAGCTTTGGCATGAGGATGAATCATCTTGGTTGTCCTTACAAAACCATTTAGAGCTATGCCTGGCTACCAGCAACAGACCCTGAATGATGAATTCATAAGTCAGAGGGCATTTTCTCACATCAGATCTCTGGGGAGAATTACAAATGTTGATTTCACCCTCAGTAATGTCAGAGGTTGTGTTTCTTGGACTTTCTCTTGTGATTGTGAGATAGCTGCTGTAGCTCAAGCCATCATGTCAGCATTCAAGGCAGGTAGGTGAACAAAAGACAAATTGCTATACCAGCCACTTCTGATCCTTTATCAAGAAAGAGAAGGTTTCTTTGAAGTGGCCTCTGGAGTTCTGCTATATTCTGGCTGGAAACTAGTCACATAGACACAACTAGCCACAAGGCAGGTTGGAAGGCATGAGGGAGAGGATTGTTATGACTGGCTTATTCCCTGAGGTCCAGGTATATCATTGCCCTAAACCAAAACAGAACTCTGTTAGTGAGAAAGAGATAGAGAATAGATTTGGGGCGCTAGCATTTACCACACTGCCCTTTACTTCTGATGTAGGCAAGTCTGTATACAAGAGAAAAAGAGAGAGAGAGAGAGTGTGTTTACAGGGGAGGGTACTGCCATTAGAAGCATTCTAAGACCCTGAGGTTAGAGACTAAGTCAGGCTTCCTTTTGGTTCCTAGAAAAACAAGACTTAAAGAAATGGGAAATCACTTGAGATACAGTTAACTACCCAGGATGGTGGCCACGACCCAAACAGTTCTTGCAAAATTTTGGATTGGTCCCCACAGCCAGAGTTTCTAGTTGTTGAACATAGCCTCTTCAGAAACCCAGCCCAGCCCTGCAGGAACCATAAAACACCCCTTCAGCCCCTCAGTCCCCTTGAAGCGAATCTCAGCCCATCCGGCTCTCTGGTGTGGGTGTGGAAAGTTGGGCAGCAGTTATGATCCCCACCCTAGTTATCATCAGTTCTTTTTTTTTTTTGTCAGTCATGGGGCTTGAACTCTGGGCGTGGGCACTGCCCTTCAGCCCTTCAGCTCAAGGCGAGCGCTCTACTGCTTGAGCCACAGTGCCATTTCTGGTTTTCTAGTGGTTTTTTTATTGGAGATAAGAGTGTCACAGACTTTCCTGCCCGCTTTGAATTGTGATCCTCAGATCTCAGCCTGCTGAGTAGCTAGGATTACAGGTGTGAGCCACCAGCGCCTGGCGCTATCACCGGTTCTATTCCCCAAGGCCCTGTAAAGCAGCCTCGGGTGACCAGGATCAGGGATGGTGCTTTGAGGCTAGCATACAGGAAGTAAACATGTGGTGGTCTGGGCTGTATCAGACCTGACTTTCTTTAGACAATAACACAGAAAAACAGCAACTAGTTTTAATGAGAAAAAAAAAAAAGATTTATAGAAAAAACAAGTTGAAAAGAATCCCTTCTTTTGTTGTTTCCCCTACTTCCTCCAGTTTGGAAAGACCTCTGTGACTTGAGTTTTGGAGCAGACACTGCTGTGGCTCATGGACACAGTCTGAAAAAGTAACACTGGGCCCTGATGGTTCATTCATTCATTCATCTATCCATCCATTCACTCACTCATTCAGCCAGTGATCATCTAATGATCCTTGAACCCCTGTGTGAGGCACTGCTAATAGAGAGAAAGACACTGTTGTCACAGCCTGAATAAAGGTGTTGGGAGCCGCCACCAGGTAGGTGCATTGGAAAGAGCTTAGGGATGGCTTCCTGGAGGAAGTGGCACCAGTGCATTCTTGATTGGTCAGTCATGGTGGCACAGCTGAGGGGGAAATAGGAAATATATTTCAGCCCAGGGATCAGCCTGGACACAAGCTAAGGATGAAGAATAATCCTGGTGTGGGCACTATAAGGAGGTCAGCAAGGGTAGCCAGCAGCACACAGGACTCACTGTACCATCTGTAGGCCAAGAGCTGGTCCCAGTGCCTTCCCAAGAGCCCTTTGCTCCCTCTGCCCTAGTTGAGAGTGAGAAAGGGCAGAGCTGACAAACTGGGGCCCTGTAGCCCATGCTTGCTGTGACTAGTATTTGCCTCTAAGAACCACCAGACTCCAAGATTTGCATCCTCTGACAAAATCTCACCTCAGGGTGATGAAGGTCTCCAAAGACACACCTGAAAAGGAAGTGACTAGAGCAAAGGAGCAAAGTACTCTAAAAGCCAGAAGACTTTCATTCCCATCCATATCTTAAAGGGCCAAGGCTCTCTAATCCCAGAGCCTGGGAGTCAGCTGCCAAGACTTCCCCAAAGCTGAGACAACCTGTACCAAAGCTCCCTCCTACCTACTTTTTCCCCAGGCCAGTTCTACCTTGTTTTCCCAGAGATGTGCCTTCCTGCACATGGCAGAGGCCATCTCCTCCCAGACTTCAGCCTGTACTTCCCAGGCTAGGAACAGCTGGGTTACAAGAGGCAACTGGGCCAGCCCCAGGCCTGCCACACAATGGTATGCTACCGCACCACAGGAAGTCATTGCACAGTCAGCCTTGTGTGAGCTCCAGGACACAGAGAGGGAGCCCTGGACTGGGGAGAGGCCCTAATGGCCATCAGGAAGGGTTAGGCCTGCAAGAGGAAGGGATGGGCCCAGGGAAGAAGGATGGAAGGCAAATGGAGGTCAGGAGCTGAACCCTGGCCAAGTCCCAGAAGTACCCTTGGCAGGAGGTAGAAAAGCTGGGACAGAACGCCTGCCACATGAATTGCAGCCATCAGGAAATAGTTCCAGATAACAAGTCCCGACTTCTCAGGCTGCAAAGGACCAGCTGGAATAGGAAACAGAATCTCTAATGTCTACTTCTGACCCACAAGGTCCCAGCTGTGACCTTTCAGTGACATGGGAGGCCTGGGTTGCTCACCACATTTGGGGTGGAGGGCTCCTTCTGTTTATCACTCCTGACCTCTGCAGCTTCTGAGATCCCTGCTTCCCCTGGCCGGGCTCAGGACCTGCATCTGTATCCACACCAGCCCAATGGAACTGCTCCAAACCCTTGCCTTCCCTTTGCTTCCTAAAGGACCTTCTGCAGCTGCTCAGATGCTGAGCATACCACTGACTGAGTGCTTTCAGAGACCCTAGGGCTCAGAGATCAGCAGACAGTACATTCCTTCTCTGACCCCTAATGCAAGTGGGTACATAGGCAGCTGCACCTCCCAGGAATCTTTTGGTTTCATGGTTACCAGGCAGGAAGGAATCACAAGCACTGGGGCTAGAAGGAACCTGCACAGTAGCTTCAGGAGCTCTCGACTCATGAGAAGGTTAAGGAAGGCTTAGCATAGATAGGAACATTTTTTTGGTGTGGTGTTGAGGTGGAACCACAAACTAGTAGGCA